GTTAATCAATGAGCGAAGTCATATTCAAGTTTACTTAAACCAGTAGTTGCAGCGCTGTGATGCAATAATTTACCCACACAAGATGCGCTAACGTTCGAACGTTTCTTACTTCCACGTGAATAAATTAATCTTATCGCTTCCTATTGCAAATAATTACAGTAGATACGTCGTCTTTACAGTTGAAGGCCGCTTTGGCTGACATGAATATAACAATTGCAAATGGATGCGTACTACAAACAAAACACTCGCCCTGAGTCGGTTTCAAGTTTGATTTCTATCTAGTTGCAAACTTGTGGCTATTGTCAGTTATCGCTTAAGTTGAGCTGTAATCATTCCATAGCCTGTTCCGATCCCAGTAGTTCCCGTGGGAGTGGGCGGGCGTCTATCAGGAGTGTGAGTAAACTAAGCTGGAACTAGCCCTTTAAGGAACTCCGAAGGTGCCTTTTGTATACATGATGTGATAAGTAAAGTTTACGCTCATTAGCCTTCTGCTCACAAATAAATATTCCAGTAAGCGATGAACCCACAACCGGTGATATAGCCTAAACGTATATATTCCATGGGTCCAAACGTGATCGAATGAAATTGGACAACAAACTGGTGCCACCGTATTTGATCGCCGTAATCAAATTGACTATCAAAGTTTGTTCATTTCATTCACAATGTCATTACTGGCAATTTCGATTGTTTGCTGATTATCGCTGATGAATCACGATTAGGCGTTATTAGTGGAGAGAATAGTGTATCTCACACAATACTGTACTCATAATAATTTAAAAGATTTCTTTTATAGTAAATTTATCTATGTAAAACGTTGTTACAGGGCAGAATAATCTTATATATGGTAAGGACATATAATATAGTAAAGACAATTTTTTTTATGTGAGAAAGTGGCAAACGAGCTGGCGGTTCACCTGATGAGTGATATGACCGCGGCCCATGGAAATTTGCAACACCACTTTAATAAAGTGGGGCCTGGCTACCTCACTCACCAGACGAAACGCAGAAGTGTAACTCTTCTACTTCACGCCGGTCTTCTGTGAGGCCGTGGTACTAACCCGGGTGGACCTGCCACTTCGTGCAACTGCGAACAGTGTTGCGTGGCCCTAACACAGTTATAACAAAATTCCATTGTTAATGCAAATACTAAATATTGATGAATGAATGAAACTGGCCGCTTTGTCCGCTCCTTTTTACCAAACAGTTTTCGATACGTCACTTTCCGTGACTGTCATTGTATATACATAATATTTTCTTTTTCTGTACGAGTACTGTCCAAAAGAGGTTTCTTATGCCTAATTGAACTTTAATTACAATAAACCCTGTTAATAACCCATCAGCAATCCAACTCGTAAGATTGATCGGCGAAATCACTACACATTAGTTTGATTTAGCATAAAGGATTTATCAAAAATATGTACTTTAATGGTTTCCTACATTTACGCTAATTTTAAACATTTTAGTATCATGTAGTTTTATTACGGAGGCAGACATATGGATGGTACATGTAAGAAGTAAAGTTTGGTAAACGTCTGGAGTTTCATTTAAAAATAAGCCGTAATAAAATCCGTTAACTAGTCTACGAAGATGATTGTTACTGAAATTAATTTCTTTGTGATTAACTGATATAACTGGATTAGAGGGTTCTATTATCTTAAAGTTATCTGATATCGTCGAATATGAAGCTTATTTTTTTTTACAACCATAAACCGACTTCAAATGTCTCGCTCTGTATTCATTTCACAATTGATTTTCAGGAGTTCCCTATCTCCGGAGCCTAAGATTCAATACCAATAAAATTAACATGAGACCACATGGGAAGCACCAGCTTTCAAATAAAAAATAAATCGTTAATTCGTAAAAACCATCAAAATCGGTTCACTTATTCGAAAGTTCTGAGGAAACAAACATTAAAAAAAATACAGTCAAATTGAGAAGCGACTCCGTTTTTGAAGTCGGTTAAAAAGTAACAGCCAATGTATGTCTCACTACTGGACAAAGGCCAGTAAAGAGGGTAAGAAATTAACCTAGAGTCAGTCCGGTACTCTAGGTTAATTTCTCACTTTCGACTAACATAATTACAATTTTACTTGCGTAATGCCACCGCCGGTAACGTCTAAAGTCACGACCAAATCGTTCGGTGCAAACATTTTCTTGCGGCCGACGTGCTCCCACGCGATTCGAAACCGATCCTGCGTTTATTGGAATACGGCGGCGAATCGAAACGATTCTAAATCGCCAACGGTAAATGTATATGGAGCGGTAAAAATTATACCAAAGCCTTAAAGCGAATTGCGCAACCTCGTGCCCGATGCAATAAGAATGGATGTCGCGGAAAAAAAATGAAAGTGCACAAATCAGAGCGGGCGGCGGCAACAATGGGGCACCAGACAAGAAGCTCGTCTGTGGTTGATAAAAGGTAAAATTGAAGATTTCGATTAATGTAACACTTTAATGAATACGCACATATAATATTACTCACACACACATAATACACAATTTAAGTCGTGATAGCTCAGTGTCCGGGCGCTCGCTTTTGATAACTAAATAGTATAAAATAAAGTCGTCCCGCTGTCTCTCTGTCAATTGCAATTCTATTTAAAAGTATTCTTAAAGACTGAGTGAAACGGGAACCTCTTTGAGTTTGAACAATTCACTCGTACAGTTATCTTTCATATATCTAGATCTTACATTGCAAAAGAGTTTATCAAAAGCAATATTAGCTAAACTTCGCCATCCAAGCGGGAAAACGTGCGTAGAGAAAGAGCTCTTAAAAGATTTTATATATACAAACTCAACAGTTTCAAATGGGTTATTAATTACCAATTTTGTCATGAGAAATTATTGTAATCACGAAGCTGACGCAAACAATTCTAATTTTTTGCAGTTCCGTGGCGAGCAATAATTACTCAAATATAATTTAAAAAAACCCGACTGCATTTCTGAGTAATTTTTCTGTTTTGATATACCCAGTATCACTCTCACGGTAAATAGGAATCTAATGACACCTCTCAAGCTAAAATCCATCAATCCGTTCAGGCTGCAGACCGTGGCCAACAATTATTCATACATACATACATATTCTCGAAAAACATAACCCTTCTTCTGGCGCAGTCGGGTAAAAACACTTTCTTTTGAGGCGTGGTACCTACTTCCCTGGGTGAGTACGAAACAGCAGCAGCTGTCCCATGGCTTTTGCACATTTGTTTTAAAAGTAAAATCTGTTGACATCTACGTGGTGAGCTCTAGTAGTTCAGTAAAGAGCGACAAAGAAGTTCGTTCCAAAGAAATATCAATCGAGACATTCCTGTATTCTTTTTACAGACTCTGTTTTATAATCCAATATCGGTTTGAATTTGTATTGCTTTTGAGGCAGGAGAGAACTATTTACATACATTAATGAACACCCTAAATAGACTGTCCAAAACTTGGTTTACTTTTTAGCTTATTCCTTAAATGAATTATTTTTCGTAAGTTACTACGCACTGGTCATTACAATTATCTAAAGTATATTATTAAATTCACATAAAGTGAAATCAGCTCTGATAGGTCAACGCAAAGAAATCACTACAGTTACCCTTTGTTAACCTATCGACGGACTGCTATAGGAATTGCAACCGTATCTTATTTAATACAGAGCATAAATTACGTACGGCCACGTTTGACATGACCGGATCAAATGTCATAAACACCAATAAGTTTATGAAATATTTATTTATGGTTCTTTTTGTTACGAACTGGCACAAGGCTCAATTGCGTCCCGTTACCGAATCCGACGCCTTTATACTTGAACGTTCAATTTTCCGCCGATAATTTGATTAAAGTTTTTTTTTGTCTACAAATATCAAACTTTGCAATTCACCTGTTTAAAATAGTTCTCAAGGATATATTGCATTTAATAGCGAGTCCATTCTAATCTAGTAAAACTGAATTAGGAACGTTATTTGTTTTAATTTCGTCATTATGGGCGTAATCAGTCATGGGCATATACTGTTAGTTTATTAAACGTTCTAACAGACTGCTTAGTGAAATCTGTGGATCCAAAACACACTTATTGTACACTTATTTTCAACCATCAAATTCAAACATTGCTGTATAGTCAATTAAATATATAACAGACTAATAATTTTCTGACAAAATGGCATGAGATACAGTTTTGTTTACTGTCCGATAGATGTCAGTTAGTTTCAGTCTAAAAATTCATTAGCAATCAGTGTTTTTTTATAAAATTATTTTTTTTTTATAAAACTCAAGATCAATTTTGTAGATTTACTTAGTGCGTGCGTTATAAATGATTTTACATTCATACCACAGAAATTAAATAATGCTTACGTTGTTAGCTTTGTGAACTAATAAACTTAAAACGATATATTTGTTACCTATCATACATATGCACTGTATGATTATGGGTACATATGCACTCAAATTATGAAATGCTTTTGATCATCTATGTTAGTTTTGTTGTGGAGTGTTGTTTTTTATTTTTTTTTTTATTTTTTACTGTTTGTAATATGTCGTTTAAATTATACCAATCTCACATAAAAAATCTAATAACTCAATGTTCATTGTAAAAACCTAACGACGACTAATATTTTAATCTAACGAACTGCCTTTAGATTAAATTTATACAAAATTCTATTATGAAGCTGAACTACTAGGTTTGTACCAGGCGCTTCATTTCTAGTTCGATTCTATACTTTTTAAGTTTTGTTGATCTCAAAAATACACAAAGAAAGAAAACAAGTATAGAAAGTAAAATCCAGATTTGAGCGGGCAACAATCTGGATAGTGATTTCTGCCACCGAGATAGTTAATCGTGACCTAGTCTCTTAATAATGTTAAACTGCGTACACATTAAATCTCTCATAAGTAAGGTACACAAAGGTAAAATAAAATAAAATATCAATTCAAAATGTTGTATTTACAAAAAAATGCCATGCCTGCAGTAATTTTATAAGTCATTTTGCGTTAAGTATGTCATTAAACCACGTGAGGATTTACTTCTTGATGAATGGGATGCCAGCGGTGTAGGAAGACCAGTAAGGCGTGCTGGGGTAGATAGCCGAGGAGTAAGACAGGGGAGAGGAGGCCCAGTAGGTCGAGGCCAGGGGAGAGGAGGCCAGGTACGTGGATGGGGCAGCCCAGACAGCGGAGCGCTTCTTAATGAAGTGCGGGGTAGAGTAAGCCGAGAGATACGGCAAAGAAGTGTCATGCAGCACACTGGAGTAAGAGATCGCGCCGGGAGCGATGTACGACGTGTAAGGAGAGGCGATGTACGGAGCCAAGAGCGAGCGCTTCTTGATCAAATGAGCGGTGCTCAGGACTGGGTTGTGGACGAACGCCGTATTGCGGAACACGGTGGGCACCGAGTAGGGGACATCCCAGTACTGGCCGGTTAGATAGTTACCGTACAAGTCGGCGGAACGCTTCTTGATGAAATGCTCGATTCCGAACGGGTAGGAGTAGTACGGGGTGTTGGTGACGGTGCTGGCGTGTCTCGTGATTGTTGTGGTCGCCGGTTGCAGGTAGGTGTGCGCGTAGCCCGGAGTGAGGAGCACATCAGGCTCGGCCGCTGCCACGGCGAACACAACGCACAGGAGAAGCTTGAACATCTTGGGCTGGGCTGTCTAGACGACTGATGCCGATGGCAATCGACCCGAGGTATTTATAGTCGATTACGAGTACAGGGTAGGTCCCGTTTGACGAGCCGGGCTGGCCAGGAAGCTGGTATTTACTGAAGCGAGGTCGCCGAGACTCGCCCATCACACGCGAGCTTGAGCCCGCCAGGGACGATAAACAAACAACGCCTTCACATTTAACTCGGCATCGGTGAATGTGATAAAGTCCGAAACAATACAATCGCCTCGTTTTTATGACTTTACTAATTAACGCACAGCAAACTCGGCGTTTGCCGACAGGACCAATGAAATTACGGGTTGAGAACAGGACTTGAAGGAAAGAATACCCACCTTTCTATCAATCACGCATTCGCCGAGGTACCGACAAAGTTATGCTTTATTTGTTCGTCATCGCTAATTACTGCAGTTGAAACCGTACCGCAGCAAGATGGCGAAATTATTTGACATTTATTTATTTTTATTCACGAGTTATTTACTGGCAGTCGATTCGTCGATGAAAATTTTCCGCTCGCTTTAAGTACTAATTGCTTTTTTTTGCTTTAAGTGGTGCTTAATAATAGAAAAATGTACGTAGTGGTGGATACCAAGTCCCTGATAAGTATAGTGAATTATCTATTCGATTCAACAACGTCAACATAAAATTATATCTGTCGATGTGCTCAATTACCAAGTGATAGTCATCGACAACGTGGTTCGTGTGTTTGATTCCTTCCTGAAATGAATATCACAAATTTGATACTGCCTTGAGTCTGGGTATTATATAACCTTTGATTAATTTATGTTTTAAGAAATCAAATTTATCCAATACTATGGATATTGGTTTTTTGAATGAACCATAAAAACTTTAATTTTATTAAAGTTTTTATGGTTCATTCATAATTAAATTGAAATTTAATTTAACTTTTGGTTCCAGTCTCTGCACTTAATCGATATCTCTAGATTTTAAACATTCTTGCAAAAAATATTCAAAATTTAGAGATAAATTCAGAAAATGTGTTTGCGGTAAAGAAATCATATGAGATAGCGTCATAGACCATGGAGTCATAGAGTCATAGCCATAGACAGAATGGGGGGTCGCGCGTTGTCGTGATGGGGCAGCGGGGACGGCCGATTGACCAAAGCTGGTTGCAGGTGTTCGAGCTTTTCTATCATTATCATCATTTCTTCGTTATAATGCTCATGTCTTTTTGTTAAAAGCTGTGATCAATCACACCGGCACTAGACCACCAAACAATGACCATACATTTCTATGGATCATTTTTCGTTTAGGGCATTGCTTTGCTGCTGAACCAGGATCTAACCAACTTCCTGAGCGCTTTCAATTGTCGAACGTAAACCATTTTCCGTCGCAAATAACAATTCGGATTAAAATTCCTTAATTCATTTGGGCCCTTTTGATCAGCGTGAGACAAGTCTCGACAGCCTACGTTGCGCTGGCGATCTTTAAGTTCGTGGGGCACCCATCTATCAAGCTTTTTTAACTAACCAATTTGTTCCAAATGGACCAATATTGTTTTGACCCTAACATCAAAATCCGCTGCTAGCTCAGCTGTCGATGGGGTATCATCGGCTTCCACAATCGCCTTTAATTCATCATTGTTGTACAAAGTGTCTGGACGACTACGAGGTTCATTTTTAAAATCAAAACTTCCAACGGGTTGTGCGTTCGTTCGCAAAGTTCCTTCTGTAAACGTTATTGGTGTTACTTGCCGTTTGTGGCGCGTTGTTGTCGCGACGGAACTCATATTCTATAATTACACGAATTTTTACGTAATATAATATTATTTAATTAATTTACGTAATATAATTTTTACGTAAAATAATACTAATTTCTTTAAATTTGGAGGTATATAAAAAAATCGAATAAAAATTAAATAAGATTGGGCTTTATAGTTCTTACAGAGCTAAAATTAAAAAAAATTGCCTTAAAAAGTCTATAAACAATACTTTTCTATATTCCCATACAAAAGATTCGTAATAATAAAAATTAATTTGAACTTTAATAGAACAGAACTATAGATAGTTCTGTTTGACTGATGCTAAGCCGCACAGGATAGGACAGGAGTGGCACATAACAATACTAGTAGGAAAAGTTAGGTACCTAGAAGCTGGAGTTGGAGTTGTCCTTCGATGTCTCAGTTTGAACGGCGGTCACTGGTCTTTTCCCACAGAACTTTGCTATTAATTTTGAGTTTAATAAACTAGCGTGTTCACCACAGCGCTGTGGTGATTGAAGATTTTATGCGTGCGGTGCGAGCGTTGAGAAAGAGGTCAATCTTCATTTCTTCGTGTTTTATAGGAAGCGGAAGGGGAGGGATATGGGCGGATATGAATATTATTGCCAGTAATGAGTGGTGTGTGCGTTATAATGCAATTAAATATAATTGTGAAACTTAATTATTTATATATTTTATATATATTATTTTTTTTAAATAAAATGGCGTAGACAATACTGATACTCCTCTCCCTTTGCGGCCCATCACTGTAAGCGAGGATGAGGCGGCGGTCACGATAGGAAGGGTGACCGTCGCCTCAGAGTGAACCTACGTATATGTATGAACCTATGTATGAGTGAACATATACACAGGCTCTTTCAAGTGGAATTTAATAATTGTAAACATATTTGTAATTTTTTTGGCAAGTAAAAAAAATGTCCCGCTGAGTTTCTTACGCCGGTTCTTCTCAGGTCAGTGGCTTTTCTTCCGAACCGGTGGTAGAGTTTTTTGACTATCAATAAGTAAGTAAATGCTTCTATATTGAATAAAGATATTTGAATTTGAATTTGAATTTGAAATATAAATAACATGAAGGTAAACGCAGTGAACTACACCCGATATAAAGTGACCGTTTACAAACAATGCCCTCATCGACCTACGTATCTATGCCCCCTTCCTCCACCAGGTGGTCAAGGAAGGGGACATAGGTCCGTCGGACCCACCGGGAGTTCTGTTGCTCATCACTATAACCACACATATTGCTAGCACATAACCAATTAGTTTCTCCTCGCCTACCTGCACAGCGCAGCCAACACAATGTGTACACCGAGCACACTGACGTTCCAGGGTTCCTACCGCCCCCGGCCGCCGATATTTGGCTCACTCTCCGTATCAAATACCCCACCGTACCGAACTCTACACAACACAGAGGGCCTTATCAAGGTCTGCGTTCGATGAAGCTTTATTATCCTACGAACTGAAAGAAAAAAACATCAATTAAAGTAAAATAAATTACAAAAAATAGTCATCTTTACAGCAAGTTCCGGCCCATAACCAATTCGGGTGGAAAATATTAAGATTCAGAAACACACTACGGCGGCGAAACAATTTTCGAAATTTTTCCTCATTTATTGAAAATAAAATAATTCCATAAAATGTTTCCAAAGATTATCCATGACATACTGAAAATAAATTAATATAATACCAATGACTGTGGTAGGGCCACACAACAGTGTTCGCTGTTGCACGAATGGGTAGGTCCATCCGGGTTAGTAACACGTAGTAGTACCACGACCTCACAGAAGCCCAGCGTCAAGTAGAAGTGTTGCGTTTCGTCGAATAAGTGAGGGAACCGGGGCCCAATTTATTAAAAGGTTGCAATGCATGTGCGACCCTACGGGTGTTGCATATATCCGTGGGTGATGGTTATCAATTAACATCAGGTGAATAGCCATAAAAATCACACAAAAAATAATTATAGTTTCGTAATTTCATTAATACATTAATTTTCGCATTGAAGACACCACACGGCTTTCGCTACATGAGAAAAATGACTACTACTACTACTGCCTCTAATTTTTGTTCACTATGTTTTTTTAATTAAATCGGACAAAGGAGGAAGTAGCCCACCTGATAGTAAGAAATCATTGCTGCCCATGAATATTCACCACACAAGAGAAGTTACAGAATAAATGTGTTGCCGGCCTTTAAAATAGGAGAGCACTCTTATTAAAAGTCCATAAATCGCATCGTTTCATAACTACCGCTGGCAACAACTGATTCCCTAAAACAAACCAAAATTATGAAATGAAAAAAAACCTTCGATCAGTGAAGAAAATGATGTACAATGGTAGTGTAATTTCTCAGAAATGCAATTTTAAGTGATTGTGAATACACGAGTAATTTAATAAAATAATTACCCTTCTTTATACACACTAGAACCAAGTCTTAATTAAGAAGTTATTTATGGAAGATATCAAAACATCGAATTAGTAATAAAATGTTTGCACTAGGAACAACTTCAATGAGTCGTTAGTTATGTTATTACTTACCTTTCCAATTTCAGTTACTAAAATAACATCAAGGTATTTTGTAAGCATTCATATATAGGAACGAAGCTAAGCACTTTGCCGCTATTTTTTAAATAATCCATTTCAATGAATTGTTAAATTTACGCGATTACTCCGCGTTTTAATAAAACTACTTCACGGATTTTATACCATTCTAATAGGAGAAAACGCCTGAGAAAATATTAATACAAATATGTTCGTTGTTAACATGTTGAGTCGATGAAACTTTAGGCGGCGAAATATATACATTAGCACATACATCATAACTCCTACAAAAGTTATAGAGTGCTGACAATTTCATCCCTAATTATTATTTATCCTTTAATTTCTTAATATAATCATTTCGCCATACGAAATTAAGATGCTTAGATGGGCGAGAGTTGTGAGTCGGCTTATTCAAACACGGCTTGACAAAGTACTTAATGAACATATACGTGGCAGCTTTAAAATCGCACCAATCACAGGCAAAATGATAGAAAATCACCTAAGATGGTATAGGCACATTAAAAGACGCAGCGAAGATCACGACGTATGAATAGTCCTAACTATGCCAGAAACTGAGGCCGCCCGCCAATGACCTGGTGGTACAGTATTGCATGAAACCTTAAGAAAGCCCAATTGCCTGACGCGACCACCCAAGACCGTTTGTCTTGACGCAGAAAACTGAGGAGACTCGACCCCTAATAACGGGATGAGGATCGGTAGAAGAAGAAGAATCATTTCGCCATTCACGGGCATGAAATGTAATACAGCTCACAATCAAAAGATAAAAATTCACGTACTGCTGGTATTCAACCCACAATCTTACAAACCGGTAAAAAAAGTATATGCCTTTCATTTGCTTATATTTTAAAAGGTGTTTAATTATTTATATTGAATGAGACTATTTTACTGTTAAACCATATGAGACTATCACCGTACATAAAACAATGGCGAGGAAGTGTATTTTATTAAAGTTTAATAAGTGTATACTAATATTGTTGACATTGATTACTACAATTCTCCGAGTTCATAAATGCTAAAATTCCCGAAAAAAAAAAAAACAAAGCGAATAATTCGCAGTAACCGGTTTGTAATAATGCCATTAAGACAATGCTCGCGGGTTATCGGAAATAAAGTAGTTTTCATTCAAGTTATTTTTGCATATTTTGTCTGCTACCGAAGCTTATGCTGAATTGGAAGTACTTATTGTAACATCCTGTGGTATCTTATTATGTAAAGTATGGAAAAAGGCAGTCATGGCCTACTGGCTAGCATCGGACTTATACCTTCGATGAAGGGTTGTAGTTTTAAATTACGTTCAGTACTAAATAACCGCTAATCAAACCGTGAGAGTTCATTACATGTGCGTTTCTTTGAGAGAATGACAATTATGTATGACTCTGCCGAGTTCCGACACTCAAGCGCTTAACGTTTGAAAGTCAGCCAGACAGTTCCAGCGATACTACGCGATACGTTTGACAGAAACGTTCGATGCATTGTCATCGTCGCGTAACATCAACAATACAACTTCGGTATTGCGTAACTAAAAAGCGGTCGTCGGCGTCAAGCTGAATGTCAAATGTATATAGAACAGCCAAACTAGTTTCTGGGAGAATCATTACTGTGCGGAAACATATAACAAAGACGTCAAGACGAGCTTATATGTTTCTGTTGAATAATTTTCATTGCCTGGATTCGAACCATTCTGAGCCTACACGAGGCGTTAATTAGACAATTTATATACACATTTTTAGTGCAGAGAAAAAAAATTAAGAACGTACAAGTCCATTTTCAACCCACTTCAAAAGGAGTAGGTTCTAAATTCGACTGTATTTTTTTATGTTTGTTGCCTTATAACTTTCGACTTTTCGAATTTTGATGATTCTTAATTTATTTGAAAGCTGGTCCCATGCAGTCCCATATTAATTTCATTGTAAATCAATTATAAAATGAATACAGAGCGAGATTTGAACGAGATTAGAAGTCGGTTTTGTTTTTCGTTAGTAAAAAAAATGGTTATTTATTAACGAAGAACAAAATCGAATTCAAATATCCCGCTCTGTATTGATTTTCAGGAGTGTCCTAATACCAATGAAATTAATATGGAACCACATGGGAAGCACCAGATTTCGAATAAAAAAAATCATCAGAATCGGTTAACTCAGTCAAAAGTTCTGAGGTAACAAACATAAAAAGATACAGTCGAATTGAGTGGCTCCTCCTTTTTTGAAGTCGGTTTAAAATTGGCGGTCAAATGCACTCATTTCGTTCTCCTCATTCAAGACTAAATTGTCAATGTGCAATTCGTACTCCATCGTAAACCGAAGCTAGTGTTCCCAGCATTGTCTTTTGCTGAAGTGTTGTAATATACGGGTCGCGCGGAACTTATTTGCGTCTGAAGTTAATCCGAGTCATTGCGCGTGCGCTGTTCATAGGAGGGGCAAAAGGAGGGGAGGAGGGGGGTTCTCGCACGCAGCACAGTCCAAATCGCTTTCCTCTTACTCCCACCACACTGAGTGTGCGATTGTGAACGACATTGTTATTAAGTTTTTCGATGTTTTGTGTTTCCGTTGAACGATAATTCGGTCTGCACCCGGCGTTATTAGCGACTCGGGCAAACAACTGAAACAATAAACTCTTGTTTATTGTTTCAGAGCTTAGTAAACCAACTTTCTCCACTGTAATAATAATTACTTTTATTCATGCGAATACGATACGTTTTTTATAAGATATTTTGGTGATTTTTTTCGTGTTTGATGTAGTTGAAAATTTCCAACGTTACCTTTACATCGTTTATGATAACTGAACGACTTGATAAAGGTTGTCACTACGGTTTTTGATATTGAAATGGTTAATTTTTAACTATTGACACGGTCGACTATATGCTTTTAACATGTTTCCTATTACTGTACTATACGACTATTGTGAATTAGTTGTAATCGGCAATATATCTAACCTATTCTTTTCTGAGAAGCCGAGCTTACACAGCTCTATTGCTGCAAATATCTACCGTCGGTAGTGACAACACTCCGTGAGCTGCTTGTTGAGAAGTAATCATAAAAAAAAGATCTATGTTTTCATAAACGCTAGTGCGTTAATTTTTAACTTCTTATCGATATTACAAATTCATTAGATTCGAAACCACTAGAACTTAGCGGTATAAAATATACATTTTATTATGTTCGTTAAGCGTAGTCCGCTATGAATAAAACATTACAGCGTTTTGCGTCTGACTCAGCCCGAATAAAGCCACTGTGGGACTGGCCTCCGCCACGTAACGAGGCGTTCGGCCGTGCGTTAGGTAAATCAGCCTTGAGACTTTTACTTTTAATCTTTCATTACAGCGAACGGACTAGCGTTTGTTCCGTTTCATACAAGCGTCGCTCCCCCATTTCGATTTCGATTTCGATTTCGGTTTTCATTTTCAACTCGACTAACGCTTCAGTTATACCGGAGCCCTCGTTTCCAGCGGCGACCACTTCCCGAGCGTCACACACCGGTTTACTAACTGTCTATATATATGTAATGGTATAACGCTCAAAGTCAGTTGTTGCCGAAATGCTGGAACTTGCGGCGTTGTGCGCTCTAATCGCGGCGGTCGCTGCTGGTCCAAGCGTGGCCGCTTACTCCTCCACCGTAATTGGCCCGTCGTCATCGTCCACGGTCAGCAGAGAGGACGGCGTGCACGCGACACCACTTCTCCAACCGTACTTGTCATATGAGAGGATACCTCTAGCCTACTCGTCCCCATTCGGGCCGCTCGCTCCCTACTCGCCAGCGCAGTACGCCCCTCACTTGATCAAGAAGCGATCTATTGTCTTCGCTCCACCCGGGTCGTACATATCGGCAACGCCGTACGCTCCTACGTTCTACGCGCCGGCGACGATCGGCACCTACTCCACCACCTCGCTGCTGCCTAGGGGTCCATTCGTGTCCGCCTACACCGCACCGGCGCATTACATCAAGAAGAGGTCCGTTATGACGCCCGCTGCTTTTATCGCACCCTTCTACAGAACATCATTAGATACTACACCACACATTACGTATCGTCATACCACATCCCTCTCCCAGTCACACTTCATCAAGAAGCGGGACTTGGAACAACTGTAATCTATAATTCCCTTTTTTAAGTCAGTATAATTTATTAACATGAGATTATTTATAGTAGGTCCGAATGTTATCTAATTAATGGATAATTTATTAAACGAAATCCTCTCGGAATGATGTCAAGGTTTTCAGCTGCATTTCCTGGCGACATAATTGTGCTTAACTAGTTTTATAAAAAAAATGGTTGTCAATTTTAAATAAATATGTGCGAAAATGGTGTCTGCTGTTTTATATTACCCTTATAACCCGTTTTATTTCAAAACGTCAATGCCTTTTACAATAAGGTTTACTTCATGTTTTGTATATTCAAGTGAAAATATTTTAGCAACTTACGTAAGCTTCGCTTGCGTCAATACCCGACCGCTGGTTCTCGTTGCTAATGTCAAAGCTCCGTGTCGCATAAAGTTCTGGACACGTAATTAGCTTTTGACAAAATTGATAAATTGACAAAACCAAAATATACTTTCCGATAAACGAAGACGACCATTACTGCCCTAAAAATGTGTGTAAAATAGATATTATTTCAGGAGTCCTAAATAATGGAAATTCGATTTATGGTAATAGTTTAGAATAAAAGTTTATGATTCGTGCGTATTGATTAGAAACTACCTTCATACGTATAAATAAAAAAATCTCAAGATAATAAGTCCTTCAAATTTTAAATATCTAATATTTGGACATGGTCAAAGCACCCATACAAAACTGGCCATCGTCTTTTTAACAACTTTTCCTCGGATAAGATTTTGGAATTTGAATGCTATGAATTTTTCCAGTGCTAATGAAGTTATCTTAAAAAAAATTGCTAGTTGTAGATGAAAGCGTTATGGAAAAACCATGTTTATATACATTTTATTGCATTGTATCAAATTCAAATATCACTATATTCTATATAGACGCATTGCACTTACTTATTGATTGTCAAAATAGTACTATCATCTGATTATATCATCTATTTATATACGTACAATTGTAAAGATGTTAAAAACTTGATATTTCATTTGACGATTCGCCATCTACATATTAAAAATAGTTTATTTATTTATTTATTTATACTTTATGCACAAGCTGTACAGAGGCGGACTTAATGCCACAGGCATTATCTCCCAGTCAACCTTGGGGTGGTACAGAGAAGATTCGGTAGGTGCACAGAAAGATGTCAAAAGAAATAAATAAAAAGAAAACACTGTTAAAATATAAACTGTTGTAAATGAGAGTATATACACATGTTAATTATAGTATATATATAATAAATACTAACAGGTGTATGTACATACATACTAATACATAAATATCTTTCTAAATATATGCATAAAATCATATATACATACATAAATAAATGTATACAGACAATTATAAATACATATATACATATACATAAATAAATTCTGACAATTAACGATGGAGTTGACCTGCCGACAAGTTTTTGAGGATGTGCTCACGTGCTTTTTTTTTAAATACAAAGCGACTTTTAGCCAACCTGATTTTGAGAGGTAGCTCATTCCACAGAAGGATAGACTGGATAAAGAAGGAAGAATGCATGAAATCAGAACGGTGAGGAGGACATACGAGAAGACGATTATGCGAGGAGCGAAGGTTTTTATTGCTAACGGCACATAGATATTGGAAATGATGGGATAAGTAAGTCGGAAAGAAGAAAGTTCAGGAAAGAGTATAGAGTAGTCAGTGCTCTTAGAGAGCGTCGTTGACGTATGGGTAGCCACTGAAGTTGAGCACGGTAAGTAGATACATGGTCATACTTGCGAAGATTGAAAACGAATCGAATGCAGTTATTCAGAAGTCGGTCGAGTTTATTGAGTTGATCTGCATTCAGGTCGAAGTAGCACACGTCACCATAGTCAATTAATGGGAAAATTAAGGCCTGCACGAGCAATTCCTTCGTTTTAGCCGGCAAGAAATTTTTGAGCCGATATAGACACCGTAGGACCCCTGAGACTTTTTGACAGACGCTACCTACCTGGGCATTCCAGCTGAGCGTCATGTCAATGTGCAAGCCAAGATTTTTCACGTTACGACTGATAGGTATGCGAGAAACTGTTGAAAGTTATATGCGGGAGTTTACTCAGATCCACTTTACCTATAATACGGGAGCTCCCGACTACAGTGGCTTGACACTTGACTGGATTCACGGTTAAACCAAACCTGTCTGACCACTTTTTAATAGCGGCTAAGTCCTGGTTTATAATATTGATTATTTCAGGGAGCCTATCAATGGTGGCCTGAGCGTACAGCTGCAGATCATCGGCGTAAAGATGATACGCACATTGAAGTTCTAGAGTGATGAAATTAATAAAAACAGAAAATAAAATAGGAGAGAGAATACCGCCTTGAGGGACACCACTTTCAACATTGAGCCAGCTAGATGACAATTCATCAATAGTGACTGCCTGCTGGCGCCCTCGAAGATATGATGAAAACCATTCCAGTTATATATTTAGGGGACTATTATATAGTTAGGGAATATAAAAATAATTATGCAAATAGCTTATAAGTTTCGTAAACATATTGTTCGCGCGCTCGCAATTTTGGAGGACATCTTGTCGTAAACACGTCAAAGCGTTCATCATTGTATAAAAATCTGTATCGTTTCTAAAGCGTACTTTTCGCTCAATGCAAATTGCTTTAAAAAAAAGGAATTTATATTTCAGAAAGGACGCCACACGTCATTTTTGGTGTGCCATTTAATACACTGAAAAAGAAATGTTTAGTTAAAATAAATAAAATAATTAAAATAACAAATAAAAAGTTGTTCCAAAAAGATCTTTATATCATAACAAAAAAAACATATCTTGACATTTTTTTCTAATGGTGTTATGCCTTTGATTGATGCCATGTTAAATTATCTTTCTCACTATTTTCTATCGAAAACCGTATGTCAATAAATAATAGTAGCTACTTCCTTTGCAAATCTCCAGGCAATAATATGACTGACGTGATAATCTAAAAACTAACAAGTGCATACTTGTAAAAAAAACGGCCGAAGTGTGAGTCGGGTGATCGTGAAGGGTTCCGTACCATTATAAATAAAACGGCAAAAAATCATGTCTGTCGTATGGGCGCCCCACTTAAACGATAATCCAGTCCCAAACTACATTGTCGTTCTGATACTAGGTAACTGATAATTATAATTATTGATAATTATTGATATATATCTAACTGATAACTGATAATTATTGTATTTATATATATATATATATACTTAAACTTTCTTTTCTTTTGTAAGTAAATACATTTTAAGATATATAAACACCCAGACACGAAAAACACTACGTTCGTCACGCAACATTCTTTTGCTAGTGGGGATCGAACCCACACCCTCTGGCACCGGAGACCGGTCCACTATCCACTACGCCAATCGGGTCGTTAACAACACAAAAAATACAAATCGAAATCCTACAAACCAAGTTCCATTGAAATCTCGTTAATTCATTTGCATCGGACTTCTGGACAAACAACTTTTATAATGTCAACATATAACAAAGACAGGTGCAAAAAAGGCGAAAGAGCCACTCGAAACGGAAGTAAAATTCTTCATGACAAAATTTTCAATACCTTTAGCTGTTATGAAATACGATATTAAATATTTCTTAATGTGTAAATGGAAACTTTGTTGAGATATTCTAAGAGATATTGCAAGACATCAAACTTTTTTTTATTACCATAAGTATTTGAAATAGTGTCTGGTAAAAGGTGTTAAGGTTTAAGGTTCTTTTGGAAGAAAGACAAGGTTGTGTGCAGTTCTTATCCACTAAAATCCTTTCACTGACCACAATGAGTACATTGTAAGGGGCTCGGGGATTTCCAGAGAAACCCAGCGTTGCCCTTTCGCATAAGCATGCTGCAGCATTTTTGCAGCATTATTTGCTGCAGCAATGGATACAGCTTTCCCGTTTCACTTACTGCTTTGCAGCAACAGGGAGATAATATAATACAAGATAATATTATTTACTTCTAGCTGACCCGGCAAACGTTGATTTGCAATATTAATTACTTCTAGGAAATTTGTGAATCTGAACATATGGAAAAATTATTTTCAGAAGGCAGGCATAAGATTTTTGACAGGTAGGAACAGTTTGTATCGGAAAATAAAATTGTTGCTATTTTAAACCTTCCCTAGACTACCACGAATATTCAAAACCAAAATTAGCCAAATCGGTCCAGCTGATCTCGAGTTTTAGCGAGACTGACGAACATCAATTCATTTTTAATCAAATTGCATATTATCATTCCAAATTTGAAGCCGTTGCGAAGATGAGGAAAAGCAAATAACAAAACACACGGCGACTTCCAACAATCCCAATAATTACATGTTACAGTGGTATTATCTAATATATAAAATTCTCGTGTCACGGTGTTTGTAATTGAACTCCTCCGAAATGGTTCGACCGATTTTCGTGAAATTTTGTGTGCATATCGACCAGGACGGAGAATCGGACAACATCTATTTTTTCATCCCCCTAAATGTTAAGGGAGGTCCACCCCTATTTTTTTTCCCTACAATTAATTTATATGGCAAAACTACGTTTGCCGGGTAAGCTAGTAACATTATAGAACAATAAATTAAGATATATTTAAATATACAGTAGGTAGGATTTAGCATATGACATGATAAGATTTTTTTTCATGTGTTTTGCAAGAAATATAAAGGCTTTTTAATTTATTTTATCTATTTACTATAACACTGTGGTAGGGCCACGCAGCAGGTTGTGCTGTTACAAGAATGGTCAGTACAGAAGAACCACGGCCTCTCAGATGACCGGCGTGAATGGATTATACTTTGGAGTCTCTTCTATTTCCCGTCGTGAGGCAATCGGACCCCACTTTATAAAAATCATCTGCCGCTGCTCAGATACTGTAAATGCCCATGGGTGCCGGTAATAACTTAACATCAGGTGAACCGCCTGCTCGCCTACTAACTTTTTGCATAAAAAATATACAGTCTTGCATATTCAATGATACTTAAAAATAATCATAAAGTTCACTTGCCCCGTAACTAACCTATAACTTCTGAACAGCTATAGTTGTCCACAACGCTGTTACGTGCTCATTCGTTTTGTTTTAGATATAAATGGCTGACATTTATTTCGTATTCATTTAGCAAATGTATAGATTTTTTCGGACGCCTAATAAATTAAAACTAATTACCCCGTGTGACTATTTTGTTGAGTACCGTGATGAGTTACTGAGTGATAAAATAGTAAGAGATATAATAAAGTATATGTCAATTTAAAGGCATTTTATATTGAAGAAAAATACTGATGAGTTTTTGTTTTCATTCATTTTGAAGAAAAGCTGTAAATAGTAGCTTAATTGTAATAGTTGTTTAAAAATTCTTCGTCTTTGACAATTAACAATTTTAAGCAGATGTGCATACCATTATCATCAATTAATTTAAAAAGTTTTAAACTGTTTCTACGTGTTCGTTCTGTTTTTGTTCACTATTTATAACAATGAAATATACAAAAAACACTTTTGAGAAATAATGTACAATATGACAAAGATAACTGGGCGCTAAAGGTTCCCGTAGTTATGAAGAATACGGCCCACTGGTTACTTCAACTGCTACGTAACATACGAATGAAAATTCCTGTATGTTAGGGGGAATACATAGTCAATATTTATAATTAAAGCATTCACGTTTGTTATTCATACAGTAAGCTTGAAAGGGGGGACGGGGTTTTGGCGAAAAACAAGACATATCACAAAGGGGGAGAGGGGGTGTAGTAAGATATCACGTGTATTTATTTTTTCGTCAAACGTGCGATTTCTAAACCGAAAATCAGTATTTAGTGTGACCTTGACTCGCCGTTACATTTTATCATAGTCCTTAATTTCAGAATAAAATTAGATTATACTCTAAACCTGTATTTGAAGATAAAATTCTAAAAAATTTAAGACTTTGTAGGTACCAAAAATACAGGTGATATGGGTGGGGTGTGGGGGTTAGTCTTAAACCTCACGACATAATACCACCAAGGGGGAGCAGGGTGTTAAAAACGCTAAGAAAACATCACTTAATTAATGGACGGCCCCAAAAGGCAGAGGAAGCTAGTGGTACCCCATATAAGCATAAGAACTCTTTAATGTTAATATAGATCAAGTCGCAAAACTTTATATCTGTTAATAATCATCACAACAGCAACAATTTTAGGTAGCACCAATAACAATATTTAATTCATGTATTTACGCAGTCTGTTCCGAATTTAGAAACAAATTTCCGAATTTAGATCGCAATACAATTCTTAAAATAGTTTTAATTATATATACGTAAAGTAAAGTAGTAACGTAACACAACAGCACACAGCCTATACATGTCCCACTGCTGGGTAAAGCCTCCTCTATACAGAGGGTAATAGGGCACCGAGCAGCCCCACTGCGGATTGGCGGACTTCACATATCTTCGAAATATTTTTTTTATTTTTTCGAATATATTATGCAGGTTTTCTCACGATGTTTTCCTTCACCGCTGAGCACGTGATAAGACAGCACTTAAAATTTACATTATATTTATTAATATATAAAATATAAGTATGTAAATCTTATATTATGTATGTGTGTATGTATTGTGCATTAATATGTTTACTTTATTATATATATATATATATATATATGTATGGTATTGTATAGTTTTATCTGATATTATTAGTGTAGTATTTTGTTGGTAGATTTAATATGCAATGCACATGTTTAAAAATCTTTTGATTGCTTTATTTTTTTTTCTGTTGTTGTAATTTGTAATAAATGCACCTACCCTAACTTTTCTGGGCCACCCCAAGGTTGACTGGGAGATAATGCTGATGGCATTAAGTCCGCCTTTGTACACAAATGTTTGTGCAGAAAGTTTAAATAAATAAAAACGGTCAGTTTAATATTACAAACAGATACTCTAATTCATTTTATCTGTATAGTTTTATCTTGCTGTGAGTTGTGTGTAGCTAACGAAGCTAATTCCTGAAGTTGCACCGCGAGATCCATATTTGTATGTAAGCCAACAAAAAGTATCACTCATAAAAATTCATAAAGTATACGACTAATTCATGTACTTTAAGAGAGTTGACATGGTTGTGCAGCGTCAAAAATTTATTCAACATACAAACCGCTAGTTCTTATTAGCGATTTAAAGACTTATAGCTCCAGTACGCACCTATCACATAATCGAACATTTAATATTTTTCCTAACTGCCTACGACATCAGCCATACTTCATAAGTGACAATTAGGAATCATCTTTATCATATCACCTTAGTTATAGACAAATCAATATCCGCATTGACAAGAATCGCATATAAAAAAATTTCGTATTATTAACGGATTAAATATCACGAACCCATCTAATCAAAATTATTGTATGCGCCTCAGGCCTTGGATTTGATAAATTTAAATATCGGGCTTCGGAATTTATCGTCGACGCCCCTTATAAACTGGCCTATATATATATAGGATCTAAATACGGGCAGTCATCAGTAGCTACTACAATGTTCAAGCTCGTAGTGTTGTCCGCTCTCCTCGCTGCCGTGGCCGCCAAGCCGGGCGTGTTCTTCACCGCCCCGCTGGCGCCTACCACTTACGTGGCCACGGTCCCGGCCACCACCTATGTGCAGTCAAGCAGATACTACCCGGCACCCACCGTCTACTCATCCCTGTCCTACCCACACTTCATCAAGAAGCGCTCGGCTCCATTCTACACCAGCTATCTGGCGCCCTCTACCTATCTAGCACCCGCTCCCCTGACCACGGCCTACTCGACTTATCTCCCTAGTGCATCGTATTATTCTACATATCCCGGTTATGCCGCTACGTTGCCATTCATCAAGAAGTAAGCTAGCCCCACGGGACACAACTGCAGTGCCATAAATCTTTTGATCATCAACTTATTATGAACATCAAGTCCACCAGTGTTTATGGGCGATCATCTGATGCCTACAACTTGATTACTGTTTTGATCAATAAAAAATTATATAACATGAGCCTATAATTTTTACCCCCGCTTCGAAGGATTAGAAGTCTTTAGGGGTTAATGAAGACCTTATCTCAGTGTCCGTTACAATATCCAAATATTACTCTTAAAAGTCGTGCGAAGTTATACTCTCCTACTGCTCTCTTAAAAAGTTAACAATTTTTTCACCGATTTAGTTAAATTTTTAATTAAATTGAGAATAATGTACTATGTGTTGTCATTTCTCAGATAAATAAAGAACAATTGGTTAATCAAAAGCACGATTTTTCAATCAGTTCTCTCTTAAAATAATCTTTAAAATTTTCAGAATGTTCAAAACAAAGGTCAAAAAACTTTTGTGATCTTCGTTCTGAACTTCTCATTTATTAACAATTTTTAATTATTTTTTTTATCTTAATATTAATTGTTTACACTCCAAATTAAGCTAACAGAAGGCGAACTTAATACTAAAAAGCATTCTCTTTCAGTCAACCTTTGGTCGTAGCCAAATTTTGACGTAGGTAAATAATAATAATAATAAATATTTTAGGACACATTTTTACACAACATTTTCTAGTCCCAAACTAAGCAACGCTTGTACTATGGGTACTAGAAAACTGATAAACATACTTAAACATACTTTTCCTTTGTAAATAAATACGTATTATACATATATAAACAACCAGACACTAGAAAAATACTATGTTCATCACACAATATTTTTCAATAGTGGGGATCGAACCACACCCTCTGGCGCAGAAGGCAGGTACACTACCCACTACGCCATTCGGGTCGCCGGGTGCGACACAAAATGGGTGAAATTAAAAAAAAAACAAACAAAAAAGTATAAGTACATTTTATAGAAATGTACTTATCATAAACATTTTTTTTATGCGAAAAGTTGCCTAACGAGCAGACGGGTCACCTGATGTTAAGTGAATACCGCCGCCCATGGACATCTGCTACACCCGAGGGTTACAGATACGTTGACAACCTTTTCAAAATTGGGCTCCGGCTACCTCACTCACCAGACGAAACGCGAAAGTATTTGTCATACTTCCACTTTACGCTGGTCTTCTGTGAGGTCGTGGTACTTACCCGGACAGGCTTGCCCATTCGTGCAACAGCCGAGGCTGCGGCGTCGCCCTACCACCGTTAGTATATACAATACTATATTTATATTTCATTATATATATACAGAGACTTACGCAAATACGAAGGATAAAGCACTAGCTTTATCCTTCGTATTTGCGTAAGTCTTGCGTAAGTCTATCTCTAACAATCGGCAATATTGGCATAGAGTCATCGTAGCGTTTCTTAAATGATACCTTACTCGGTGCGTTTCTAATGAACAGAGGCAAGGAGTTCCACAGTAGTACAGCCTGAATAGTAAAAGATTTATAGAAGAAACCGGAATGATGCATCGGAGTACAGAGTATTCTTTTCAAGGTCAAGCTGTGCGGCTCTGGAACTCGCTACCGATCTCCATCAGAAAGAGTTCTACTAAAGAGACGTTTAAACGTGCCGTCTTAAAATTTTATCTAGATATTCGACAGAATTGAAGATTGAGCTAATTGAACTTTACCCTTCTTGACATAATTATTTAATACTATTTAGGTATATATTTATGTTTGTATATGTATATGTACTGTATAAATATTATTTATATAAATATTAGTATATGTGTATGTGTACATTTATGTAAAGTAAAAAGTAAAGTAACAGCCTATACCTGTCCCACTGCTGGGCAAGGGCCTCCTCTACACAGAGGGTATCAGGGCATAGTCCACCACGCGGCCCCACTGCGGATTGGCGGACTTCACATATTTTCGAAATATATATATTTTTTGTTATTATTTCGAAAATACGCAGGTTTCCTCACGATGTTTTCCTTCACCGCGGAGCACGTGATAAGTCAGCACTTAAAGTTAAAAACTAAAAAACTTCATTGGTGCCGGCAACGGGGATCGAACTCAGGTTGCTCGATTATATTGAATTAAAGTCGAGCGCCCGGACACTGAGCTATCACGGCTCTTTACATTTATTAAATGTAAAGAGCCTAATAAAGTATTTTATATAAATTCATATTTATCACTACTTCTCATGTGGCTCTTTCGCACCTCTTCTCTCTACTTATAGGTCGGTTGCGATATATCATTATCAGCTATTTAAGCTGATAATGATGTTGAGATATATGATAAAATTTACATTAACCGAAAATATACCTAACACAGTTATTGTAGGTACGCTCCAGCTTAATAGAGGAATCTTGGCTTAGATCCCGAGCAGCAGACATCTGTATAATCCAAAATGGGTAAAATGGGCAGAAAGTATTTTAAAATATGCAGAAAACATAAGGTGGCAATGACCTTGCGACTGATCTCCTTGACGCAATCAAAATTATTGATCGATTGTCTTTCCAAAGTATTCTTTAATATAGGCTAATGCCTTTAATAGAGTTCATTAATAATGAACTCTATTAAAATGGCAATAGTATATTAATAGCAATTACCTTCGATTAAAATTTTGTCAAAAATGGACAGGATGTTTTTCACCGGTGCGAGTATTTGAACCTGCGTTCGCGAAATACGCGCCCAACGTTCTAGCCACTGAGCTAAACGGCTTATTTTGACACAGACTTAAATCTGAACGGATTTTATCTACTTGCGACCACCTTTTCATTTAACATTTTACAATGAAATATTTGAAAACTAGAGATGACACCTTTGTTAGTTAATTTCTATAGTGCTATTCTATGCACTTAAGATGATTTTTTTTAAAAAAGAAATAGTCGCAGGTTCATATCCTAGCAGTGGAAAAAAAGTACGAGAATTATAGAGAACAGCATTATACTTAAATTAACAGCACTATATAAAAAATATTGCACTTTGAAAGACATTCGATTTGTTAAATACTTATTTTTAATTAAAAATAATTATTTTATTTTTTTCTCTGTAAAACAACTGTGGAAGGGCTACGTAACAGTGTTCTCTGCTATCGAATGGGTAGGTCCGTCCGGGTAGGTACCACGATCTCACAGAAGACCGGCGTAAAGCGGAAGTGTCATACTTCTGCGTCTTATCTGGTGAGCCAGGACCACTTCATTACAAGGTGGCAACGCATCTACACTACCGGTGTTACAAATGCCAGTGGGCGGCGGTTATCACTTTAAAAAAATACGTAGAAAAAATTTTAGGTACGGCCAATTGTAACCTAATACAGTCTTTATTTTTATTAATTGGAAATATGTTCCGCATGTTTCTGAACATGAAACATACGTTATTTACATTAACCGACTTCAAAAAGAAGGAGGTTATCAATTCGGATGTTTATATTTTTTTTATGTATGTTTTTTTTTTATGTTCTGGCATAAGTTCTTCATATATAGACGGATTTGCAAAAAATCTTATTTTGTTCGAAAGGGTGTCATTCCGAAATGGTACTTACCAATATATAATAATAATATTATAAACGCGAAAGTTTGTTTTGCTTTTTCACGCAAAAACTTCTGAATGGATATTAATGAAACTGCAATAATATAGCTTCTACATCAGAATAACACATAGTAACTTTATCTGTCTGTTACGCCTTTATGATTAAACCTCAGAACCAATGTTGAAGAATACATTGAGGACTAGGATGTGTAGAAATCCAACGTGCAACTCCAACGCACACTCCCCAAAATGCATCCTGTAGAAAACCGAAAGGCTGGCTTCTCTGCGCCTGTGCTCTAGACTAGTGAGATTAGTTTTAACCAAATCATGGTCACTTTCCGCACGCCTCTCCATTGAGTCAAGGCAGCCAGGTGGCATTTTGCAGCTCCCAGATATGACAGCAGTACTCCACATACGATCGGACTTGAGTTATGTAAAGAGTAAGGAGCTGTCCGGTTGAGAAGTACCGTCGCACCTTGACAAGGATGCCTAACTTCCTTGCAGCTGCCCTGATTTTAGACTCAATGTACCGCATATACGCATACTTTTTAATAAGTGAGCCAAAATTCTCTCAACGGCCTGATTACATAGAAGGTATTAACAGATTCTGGGATCACTGGAACCCTTTAATTTCACGATGAGGCCGTCAGGTCTTATCAGAATTGTAAAAAAGTTCTAAGGTAAGGAAATACTCTGTCTTTTGATGGGAGGGTAAAAATGATAGGCTAATTATTATAGAATTTTTTTATTGACCGAGTTAATAATCATGTTTTAGACATCGAGATGATCGTCCACAAACATTTGTGGTGGATGATCCGGAGGTTTATGATACCGCAGTCGTGTCATATGGATCCAACTTACTTCTTGATGAAAGGCAAACCAGCAGCATAGCCGGGATAAGCGGAATAATACGATGCACTAGGGAGAACAGCCGAGTAGGTTGTGGCCAGGGGGCTTGATGCTAGGTAGGTAGAGGGCGCCACATAGCTGGTGTAGAACGGAGCCGAGCGCTTCTTGATGAAGTGTGGGTTGGACAGGGACGAGTAGACGGTGGGTGCTGGGTAGTAACTGCTGGACTGCAAGTAGGTGGTGGCGGCCGGGACCGTGGCCACGTAAGTGGTAGGCGCCAGCGGGCCGGTGAAGAACACGTCCGGCTTGGCGGCCGCGGCGGCGAGAAGAGCGGACAACACTACGAGCTTGAACATTTTAGTAGCAACTGATGACTGCCCTTAATCTAGATCCTATATATAGGCGAATCCATTAGGGGCGTTGGCGATAAATTCAGGAAGCCTGATATTTAAACGTATCAAGGCCAAGGTTCGAGGCGTATTTGACAGACTTTGAATAATTACGTTCGTAAATGTTATTATGTCAATGCTTCAAAACTTTGTCATAGTCGATTATTATCTATACCGATGTAGAGAAGCATAATATGATGATGATACACACAGATAAATTTACCCTTCTTTGCACAAATAATCGCGCTTTCTCGTGAAAAGTGATGGACGTAGTATAAATGAGGCAAAACATAAAAAAAATGATATATGTAATATTCATTCTTCATCATCGGTTAATGGAGTGCATGTTGGAATTGCTGCATGGAGTAATGCTACTGCGCTACCAAGTTTTATTATGGTTCACGGGTTACGCGTGTGTTACGTTTTTGTATGAATTATATCTTTGTTGGCATCAAAGACCAAAGTGTGTTGCTTTGACATTACATTCTTCAACTACCTACCTTATATCAAGATTAGAACATACAAAAAATCAATTCGCCCGTGATCTTATGTCGAACGGACTGTATATTTAATTTATTTGATCAATTGACAATTAAATATTGTATTTCCGTGCCGTCTTACACATTACATTAAATTAATCACTACAGCACTTAATAAAAAAAATAGTTTTAACTTAAAGTGCAATCAAAACAAAAGCATGTAAGTAACTCTTTGTGTATATGCTGTTTACTGGACACTGCTTTTAATAAACGGTACTGAAATAATTGAAGTATAGAATAAAACCCGACATATGACAAATGCTAAATGTGAATGTTATTTACTCCTCATGCAACTCAACAGCCATGACAATCAAATTAAGAAATGAATGTAGTGAAATGAAAGAAATGTGAAAAACGTTTAAAATGAATGTATTTAAAGGCTCTTTTACCCGTAAAAAGTTAATTAAACCAGACGTTATAAACTACAATGATGTTTTAATAAAGATGACGCACGTCCATACTGCGCAGCATTTAAAAGTTGTTCCGCTTTACGTTATATGACATATTTATGTAAGTGAATGTGACAAATGATATAGAGCGTATGATACGGAAAGAGATAGCAGTCTATAGAATTGCTATCTAATAACACCAATTGGCGTAATGTGAGTTCCTCAATTTCGGTGCGCTACTGTCAGATCTAACTCGTATTTGTATATACTCATAATATCATTGATTATAAAGAAACTAGCGATCCACCCCGGCTTCGCTCAGGTGAAATGTATTTATTTATTCCGAAATATCTATTGTGGAGGCCCCCGGGCTGTTACCCCGGTTGCCCTCCCCTAAATCCGGCCCTGACTAGATCCATCGGTCGCAGCGACGCCAGACGTAAAGAGACCCAGAGTTGCAAAACCTGAACGCGGAAACTCGATTTAAGCGTAACAAACACATTTTATTACGCTCTAAAGACAAATGTTAAGGTAAAACTGAAAGTTCCGCCACTTCCTTTTAAGACAAAAAAATATTCGTCAAATTTTTTCAAGTGTTGGGGGGGTACAAGTACTGGGTTGGATACAGGGGAGAAATTTAGCTAGAATAAATATCTCTTCCAAATCAGAATTTGTTTAGCGTTATTTACATGTTTGTGAAATATCCCGAAACATAATGCGGGAGTTTATTTATTTATTTGCTATAACGTGACAAACGTGATTTAGATTCATTATCGAGGTAGCTACGAGGAAAGTGTACTTACGATGTATTCGATTAAAAGACGCACTCTTGAAGGCAGTGTTTTGTTGATTATACGGATTTAGCGAAAAAAATAATAAATATGCTAGTTTTTTTTAATGTGAATAGTTGCCAAACGGGCAGACGGCTCACCTGATGTTAAGTGAATACCGCCGCCCATTAACATCTGCTACACCCGAGACTTACAGATGCGTTGACAACCTTTTGAAAATTGGGCTCCGGCTACCTCACCTTTGCTCGGTTTTTTCTTTTGGACAATCATGTATTTTGGAAATAAAAAAAATCTCTGGAGCCGTTTCCGAGATTCCGATTATATATATACAAGAATTGCTAGTTTAAAGGATAAGACATACCCTATGGGCGTGGATAAGTTATTTTAACAAAGTACATTAAAAATGCCTTGCCTTTCTCTTAAGCGAGTCGTCTTCAACTAATCGTGTCTCTTGCCACAACTAGGTCACTAAATACGAGAGAATATTAATGAAATCGAGACCCAAGTTACTATTATTCGGGAATAAGATATTAAAAGTGTTTTTGATAAGAAAGACCAAAACAATTTTTATCAAAATATACAAAATATATATGAATTATGAATACTATAAGGCTGTTGAAAAATATATTATTAAAATAACCAAAATAAATTCACCTTAAACTAAATGAATAATCTTTATAGGATGAATAGCTTTTACCACTAGCTTCACCCGCTTAGTCAAAGAAAAGTGTCAATGAGTTGTGTATCACTATTATACGTATTATTACACAATTTATGATCATGATAAAAGCATGAAGATGTCTGTCGTGTCGAACTTTATTCACTATAGTCTTAATTTAAGCTATTATTGAATTTCAAAAAAAACTGTCACTGGTTCACTTAACTAGACATGACCAGAGAAGAATTATTCATTTAGCATTATTTTTCATTTAATTCCGGATCCTATTTAAAAAACGCCATGACTCTTGAGTATCATATAAATAGAGAATAACTAATCAAAATGACGAAAAGAAAGGCATACATCTGTATTCAAAACAAAACTAAGTTGCGAGATAAATCTAATAAACGTAAGCGAAAGCTATCAACGAATTGAGATCATACTGTAAAACGAAAAGAGTTTAAGTACCGTATTCACTATAGCATCAAGCGGGGTGTGATGACAGCTCTTAATTTTGATGACTCCGTGGCGTAGTTGCCAAAGTATTGGCTTCGGCGTCGTTGGTCGTGGATTCGATTCCCACACGGGACAACCATTTGTGTGACCTGCAGATAGTTGTTTCTATCTGGGTGTTTGTCCGCGTGAAATTTATGTTTGTAAAACGTCTTTATAACACAGGATTATGTTATCCTAAAGTGAGGGCAACGTTAAAAAAAATGATATCTCGGTGAAAGTTTTCGAAAATAAGATTTTTGGATTTTTCAATGAACCACTCATATTTAGTGACTTTGTTGCAGGCTTCTTTTAATAGGTTCATCACCTTTTTGGAGTCAAATGGCGGAAAAGTGTTTTGGTGGGCTGCATAACTTATACCTGCTAAGAGAAGCATATGGTCTACTTTATCGAATGCCTTTTTAAAATCAGTATAAATAGCTTCTACCTGTGCTTTGTGATCTAAACTATCAAAAAGAAAGTTTGAAAATACGAGTAGATTTGTAAGAGTGGATTTCATCATCATCATCATTTCAGCCTGTTTGAGTCCACTTCTGAACATAGGCCTCCCCCACAGACTGCCATGAAGTAGCCATCCTGAGCCACCTGCATCCATCGACTTCCCGCACACTTGCACAGGTCGTCACTCCATCTAGTGGGGGGTCGTCCTACACTGCGTCCACAGAGTGGATTTGCCATGCACAAATCATTTGTGCTCCTCTAAAATATTATTCTTACAGGCTATCACCTGGTGGCACAGGTAGTGAATTAATTTCTCAAATATTTTGGGAATTGATGAGAGAATAGATATTGGACGGTAGTTTTCAACATCCTTCTTGGATCCTGTTTTATGAATGGGTGTTATATGTGCTAACTTCCATACGTTTGGAAATTTCCCGGATGTTAAACTATTATTAAAAATTATACTAAGAGGAATACAGATTGTTTCATGGGTTCGTTTTAGCAAAAGTGGGATAATATTGTTTGGTCCAGCACCCTTATTCGAATCTATATTTTTTAAGGCTTTACAAACTTCAATTTGAGCGATAAATATATTATTCAGATTAGTTTGATTGGTATTTTCGTCCACATATTCTGAAACAGTGTAAGCACCGTCAGATGCTGGTTCAAATACAGATTTAAAGTACCGTGAAAACAATTCTGATATGATGTTAGGGTCATCAGAAGTTTCAGTAGCTAATTTCTTTTGACGAGAATATCTCTCCTCATAATGCTGGATTCTCCATTAACTCTTTTACTCTTCAGGCTGCACTGCTTTTGAAATGATTGCCTGAAGACATACGTAGGGGGACAACAGGATCTCATTCAAGCGCTTGGTCAGTGATTTATACTTAATTCACTTCCGTTTATAGATTTATATATGTATCGCATCCGGTTATATAATTTAATTGAACCAAAAGCTTTGTCATTTTTTTTGCACGTTACCCATATGCCCACGTCATGTCACAAGAAAAACATGAAATGAAAAAACTCAACATTAAATTATTTTTATATATACTTGTAAATATAAATAATTTAATGTAATAATTGCATCTAGCATAATTTATCTCCACGCCGCGGCTTAGCTGGGAGAGAATGCCAAAAGGTAATTTAATCCTTGTTTCGCCCTTTGTAATCCTAATTTAATGTAACTATATAGAATCAATAAATAGGTAAAATAAATGATTGATATGTTATCATGTCAATTTTGTTATGGTCATTAAAAATAAATAATCAAACACAGTGGATCAACTGGGTAAAATTTAAAGTTGCACTCTATTCTGAATTCACATTGATTTTCCATTTATGAACGCAATCACTAATGCGATAAGCGGCGCTTTGGAGGCGAGTGATCGTACACCAAGTTTTTCCGTATACAATACAGCTGTATCATATGAGAAAAACGCGATTTTGACGTAGGGATCTTTAGAGATGTCGCCCCTGTAGAACAAAAAAGGCACAGGTGAGAGACAAAGTCCCTGTGGAACGTCAGCTGTAGCGGCTATTTAACAGAGTGGCCTTTATCCGATTTTTTAAGTCAATTTGTATGACAGGCGGTGTATACTTATGGACCTTATTCAGTTCACCTAATAAAATAAATTGCCAAATACGTCTACATAATAATATAAACAACATTTCTAAAAATTTTATACAATTATAAAAATTTATAATATTACTTTATTACTCAAAAATTAACATTAAGCGAGATATTGTGAACGATCTTTGAAAAAAGGAAAAAAATCTATTGATGTAAAAGTAAAAAAACTAATTTTACACATTTCAAATTTAATCTGCAATTGCACTATTTAATTAACGGTTCTTCAATTATATTAGAAATCATCGTAAACATTAACTTAATAGTTTCAATATTCGTATGGAACTTTTCGGTAACCTTGTACGTTGATATTTAAAAATACTAGTTTCCTGAGTAAAAGCTTTATGTTCATTGAACGTACTCACTCTGCCCGTGAGTGCTATTTGCTATAAAAACGCTGTAACAATTACTACAGGCATCAGTCGCTTCTACAATGTTCAAGCTAGTGGTATTGTCTGCTTTCCTCGCCGCCGTGGTGGCTGAGCCGGGCTTCTATTCGCCGCTAGTGCCTACCTCGTACGCGGCCATTGCAGCTCCTGCCGGCACCACCTACCTGCAGCACTCCAGCAGCTACTTAGCACCTACTATCTACTCATCCCTGGACTACCCTCACTTCATCAAGAAGCGTTCGGCGGAAGCTAACACCGCCGCTGAGGATGCAGCACCACAAACAACACACAATAAGCGCTCGGTTCTGCTCGCAGATCCCATCATCGCCCGCGCATCGTACGACCCTGCCTACATTGCGTCTGCTCCCTTGGCTGCATCGTACTACCCTGGTGCCTCCTTCTACGGTTCCTACTATCCGTCATACTATTCCGGCTATCCTTCTGCATTTCCTTTCATAAAGAAATAATTGATCTAAATCAGTCTGATTAACGTACCGAGGCCGTCCTAATGTGACTCATGTATTTTTGTGGTCAATAAAATTTCATTAATCAAATTAATAAAAATTTTACAATTGTTTACCCCCCCCCCCCCCCCCCCCCACCCCTTTAGAGGTTTTTCATTTGAATTAAGTAACTTATTTCGATTTTATCAAAATCTGAACACTGAAAAAAACCATGTTTCAATTAAATCAATATAAACATTAAACTACATTACGGCTTATGAAACGATGCTTTCCTGACAGACGAAACATCTGTTTCCTGATAGAACAGACGACATTATTTTGAAGTTGAATGCGACGAGCATTTAAAGAAAAAAAAATATTATTTCATATACTGATGGAACTTTACAAATATGCCATTATATGAACTAAAAATAAATGTTACATTTTGCGCAAAATTTAACGTTAAATAAAAAAAAACGTCACGTTGTTTCAAGAACAGATCAAATGTTTATTTTTGTAGTGATGTGCCGAACTAATAAATTATTTTTGGCTTATAATAAATGCAAACGTATTACATTTACTAGAAACAAAAATGTTCTTGCTAATAACTTGCATATTGGATTTTATAATCTGAGCCCACAATCCAGTATACGGGATCTTGGAATTTTACTGGATACAAAACTTACACTTGATCAACACTATGAACATATATTACGTAAATCGTATCAAACGCCAGGTTTCATAGCTCGCGTAACAAGATCTTTTAAACGCAAAGATAGTATTATCTGCTTGTACCAGTCTTTGGTCAGATCTCATTTAGAATATGTATCTCCTATCTGGAACCCTTATTATGCAGTACATGAAGCTAAAGTCGAAATTATACAAAAGAAGTTCCTACGTATGCTAAAAATCTTTTAAAAAGATATTATATGCTTTCCTTGACTGATCGACGTTCTCTAATAGACGACTCCACTCTTAGAAACATCTGTACTGGTGACATCAATTGCCCAGCTTTACTGTCTCAAATAAACTTCCGAATACCGTCGAAAACAACACGTTCGAAAAATTTATTCCATGTATCTGCAACCAGAACCAACATTGGCGAACGCGTGCCACTGAACCCTATGTGCCTCCACAATAAAATGCTAAATAATTTAGATATGTACTCTTGCTCCCGCTCAACCTACAAAACCTCTATTAAAATGCTTCACTACAATAAATAGATTACCCTCAATTGTAATACTCACTGTGTTGTGTTTCAATATATTTTATTATTTTTTACCTCCAATAACGCATGATTGTAAAAGTAAAGTAAAATCCTATACATGTCCCACTGCTGGGCAAAGGCCTCCTCTATACAGAGGGTATCAGGGCGTAGTCCACCACGCGGCCCCACTGCGGATTGTTGGACTTCACATCTTCGAAATATATATATTTTTTGTTTTTATTTCGAAAATATGCAGGTTTCCTCGCGATGTTTTCCTTCACCGCGGAGCACGTGATAAGTCAGCACTTAAAGTTAAAAACTTCATTGGTCCCGGCATCGGGGATCAAACTCAGGTGTCTCGAGTATATTGAATTAAAGGCGAGCGCCCGGACGCTGAGCTATCACGGCTCACGCATGATTGTACCTTCTTCTTTTTCTTACTTGCGTTGTTGAAATTTTATTGTGTCCTCTGTAATTGTAATAGTTCTGCCGTAAGTGTGCTACCGATTAATAACAAATTTGTTCTCAGTGAGACATTAATTAAGGGAGCAACTGTAAATATCTGCATGCTGTATGTTGATTTTTATTTTTTATTTTGTCCTTTGTTCCCGTTTGTCTCCGATATAGTAAATAAATAAATAGCAGTTTAAGTATTAACCGACAAAAGTAAGTATTAACTTCAGGTTAGATGAGAAACGATCATCAGTCGCTTAGCTTAGTTTGTAAAACGTCTGGACGCGTTTCCTAGAAGATGCAGGTTCGAATCCCAAGGCGCCGAAAGTTTATGATCATTTATACAGGAAATTTCACCCTTTAAGTTTCATCTTTAGTGCAAAGATTAACACTAAAAATAAAAATGTATCCTAAAATTTTAAGAGCAAAGACGAAATCTCTCTTTACAAATGTTCATCGTTCTTTGTAAGGTGTTTCATACTGTAAATTATGCACAGTGCCTAGTGCCGCTATATGAAATAAAGAAGGTAGATACATGAGATTTCCACGCCGTGAGGTCATCGGCCGCTCAGGTTAGTTGTTAAAGCATGAAAGCGCTGACGAATCACGCAACGCCGAAAGGTTTTTTCATTTATCTATAAAACTTCACATTTTAAGTTTCATCTTGAGTGCAGAGATTAGCACTGAACACAATAATTTATTTATTTGTGATAGCTGTACCCACTTTACTAAAATAAATGTGGCAACGCATCTGCAGCCCTATGGGCGTTGCAAATGTCCATGTCTGGTAAGTGGCCTGATGGTAAGTGACGGCCGCGTCACTTATCATCAAGTGGACCATCAGCTCGCTTGCCGTCTTACAAAAAAAACATCGAGCCATCGGATATAGTAGATGTCCTTTTGCGGCAGTATTTCACTAAGAAAACAAATTTTTATATAAAAAAAACATGTGTATCAAACCCGTTAGAGTCACTATTATCAGCCTAAAGTTAAATTTGCAAGTCATCAGCATACATATGGTACCTACATAAATGGTACATACGCACAATAACCTATAATATTTGTAGCTGTCACCTATTTTAATAAAGTATACGTACATATTATTTTATCATATAATACATGTATAACCATGTCATTTAATCTGCATTTTTAAATTTTACTCTACTCTACAGTACAATATTTCTTCGTTGCGTAAACATTTTTATAGATTTATTTTTGGATACCTTTAAAAAAATTGATTTCTTTAGATACTTTTAGAAGCTCACGTGCTCACGTCCGGGTAAGTACCACGACCTCGCAGAACACCGGCGTAAAGTGGAAGTACAAAACTTTCGAATAGCTTTTACTTTAAATACATAAGAATAAACAATATTACTAAGCCCAGTCCAGTGCTTCCGTTAATATTAGCACAATTAAAAAAAAAATCCATCTTTAGATTTTGATGTTCATTATGAATCAAAACCACTTTAGATAGGGTAAAATGATGAACTAGGATTAAATTATTATTTTTATTGACACAAACACGTTGTGTGCATCACACTGAGCCACAACAGGACAACTTGACGGGTAGTATTAAGATGATATTGATATTCTAATTGATTTGCCTCAATTATTTCTTGATAAAAGGTAACGCACTGGGATAGCCTGTGTAGTATGACGGATAGTAGGACCCGTAGAAGGAGGCACTGGGGATGATAGCGAAGGAGTAGGATGCAGCCAGAGGGGCGGACGCAATGTAGGCAGAAGAGGGAATGGAAACAATTGACATAACATTTTATAACACTAAATTGTATTAAATATTACTAATCACCTTTAAGACACCTTCAGCTACGTGAAATTACGTGTTGATTTGGTTTATTTTGAATTAGCGAGTCGTTTCACATGATTCTTCAAAGAATTTAACACAGTGACATAAACTCAGTAGCAACCGTCCTGTCTTTCTTCATTTATCTTTTGAATATTTCGCTTTCGATACCAAAACAAAACATCTGTAAAAACGTCAAAAAAATCATTTCTGTGGTATGGGAACCCCGCTTAAATATTTTTTTATTCTGTATTTTAGTATTTGTTGTCATAGCAGCAACAGAGATACATCATCTGTGAAAATTTCAATTGTCTAGCTATCACGTTTCATGAAATACAGCCTTAAGTTGGACTCTAAGAACCAATTCTTGAAAGCTTGAAACTGATTTTACGGACTATTGCGATTTTCATTTGAAATCTTTCACATGCGTTAGGTAGAACTAGGCGATTTTAACGAAACGTATAATATCGTATAAATAGTTTCAAAGAATGTTTATTAAAACAATGAGAGACTGTACCACGTTGTCGCCTTCACCGGATTTCCTTTTTGTTGTGTCAGAGTCGCCGCCCTAATAGCTCTAGCACAAGTCTAATTCAGTTTGTAAAACAGGGATATGCCGATACTTAGACCTCACTGAAGTTACCTAATGACATAAAAGCAAAAAACGGTACCTCAAATGTTGAAGAAAACAACAAAAACATACATTAGAATTCTAAATTTAATTTAATGTACTAGTCATAATTAGAGCTGTGATAAATTTGCTTAGATAGTCCGAGCGCTTGCTATTAATTCAATAGACAACGCTTGCTATTAATTCGAGCAACCTGAGTTCGATCCCCGGTGTCAGCACCAATGAAATTGTTAATTTTCTGTGCTCAGTTATCACGTACTCAGCAATGAAGGAAAACGTCGTGAGCAAACCTACATGTTTTCGAAATAACAACTAAATATAATAGTGCACTAAATACTAATTCTTTGGACGTCATTTGGACTTTTTTTACCCCTTCTATGCCTCTGAATTATGGGTAAACGTCTTCGGCATTCGTGGCCTGACGCTTTAGCCACTGAGCTAAACGGCTGATACCCACAGCGACGAAAATCTTAACGCCTTCTTTCTACATTGTTATTTAGCATTTGAAGCAATGCTTGGCGCATCTATTGTTATAGCCTTTCCAGCATAGAAACAATTTCGAATATCGTTTTACAACGATAATTCGAACGAGAGATGTCGACATTGCTTTTTATAAATTTTAAAGTTTTTTATAGTGCTAATCTCTGCACTTAAGTTTGAACATTAAAACATGTAGAAAAAGTACGAAAAGATTGTCGCCGCTGTGGGAATCGAACCCACGTCTTCGGCATTCGCGGCCTGACGCTTTAGCCACTGAGCTAAACGGCTGATACCCACAGCGACGAAAATCTTAACGCCTTCTTTCTACATTTATTTAGCATTTGAAGCAATGACTGGCGCATCTATTTTTATATCCTTTCCAGCATACAAACAATTTCGATCTTAAATGCAGAGATTAGCACTATAAAAAACTTTAAAATTTATAAAATGCAAATATGTGATTTTTTTTATGTGAAAAAGTGGCAAACGAGCAGGCGGTTCGCCTGATGTTAAGTAATAACCGCCTCGCCCATGGACATTTGCAACACCCGTAGGGCTGCAAATGCGTTGCCACCTGTGAGGTCGTGGTAATTACCCGGACGGACCTGCAACGTGCAACAGTGAAAACTGTTACGTGGTCCTACCACAGTAATCGGGATTACTTTTCTTTTTTACACATTTCATAGACGTTATAGTCCCACATTGATAGCTCTATCACAAGTCGCCTTTAAATCACTTTGTATAGGTAGATTATACCTTCAGCACAGTTCATCTAATTTAATAAAATAAATGCCACATGCAACACTATAGATCTAGAAGATTCTTTAAAATTCTCATATATGGGGCCGCTTTCAATATTTTATCTACAGATACATTTGGTTACTGGAGATAGAATTTTGACGTAAGTATTATGGAGCTAATTAAATGTGTAGTAACCAAATCTATCTATAAATAGAATATTGAAATCGGCTAATAGACAATGTTATTAAGAGAAAAGTTATACTAGTTCAATGTTGTTTTATCTCAATGTTACCGCAAGTGATCTCCGAATATAGCGTAAAAAAAACACTATGCACATGTAAAAATATCAGATTTTGTTATATAATTGCTTTACCCTCTTAATAATAATTTAATTCTTACCTTCGTAATAATTTAATGCGTTTGAAACAAATGCATGACCATATGAAAAATTTTTATTGATTTAATCTGCCTATGTAACTTCTCGGTAACCTTGCATGCTGATATTTAAAAAGACTAGTTTTCCGAGTAAAAGTTTCATGTGCAATGTACGATCTCGTACTATTTGATAGTGTCATTTCTTATAAAAACGCGGTAGTTACCAAGACAGGCATCAGTCGCTTCTACAATGTTCAAGCTCGTGGTATTGTCCGCTCTCCTTGTCGCCGCGGCCGCTGAGCCGGGCTTCTTCTCCGCCCCGCTGGCGCCTGTCACTTACGCGGCGACCTTAGCGGCTCCAGCCACCACCACCTACGTGCAGCACTCCAGCAGCTACTTAGCACCTACTGTCTACTCATCCCTGGACTACCCTCACTTCATCAAGAAGCGTTCGGCAGAAGCTGACACCGCCGCTGAGGATGCAGCACCACAAACAGCACACAATAAGCGCTCGGTTCTGCTCGCAGATCCCATCATCGCCCGGGCGTCGTACGGCCCTGCCTACATTGCGTCCGCCCCTCTGGCTGCATCCTACTCCCCCGCTATCATCCCCAGTGCCTCCTTCTACGGGTCCTACTATCCGTCATACTACGCAGGCTATCCCGCTACGTTGCCTTTCATCAAGAAATAATTGAGGCAATCCAATCAGAATACCAATATTACCTTAATACTCCTCTCATGTTGACGTCATGACTCAAAATCAAATTGACGAAACATATGACGTTTGGGATCAATAAAAATTGATAACATAAAACTCGCCCATTACTTTTTCTTATCATATGTGTTTTCTTTTGAATTTAATAACTTCATTTTATTATTTCATAATCTAAAGACTGAAGAAAATATATTTGAATGGTTGGTAATATTTCGAAATAATATTGTGTGACCAACATAGTGTTTTCCAGCGTATAGGTGTTTTTATTCAATCGTTGCATAGATTGGGACTAGCGAAAGTTGTGTAACTAAAGAAAAACAAACAAAACTGACTTCAAATATCTCGCTCTGTATTCACTTTATAATTGATATTCAGGAGTTCCCAAGTATATAAGCCCGACATCCAATAGCAATGAAATTAATATGGGACCACATGAGGAGCACCAGCTTTGGAATAAAAAGAGAATCATCAAAATCGGTTCACTCATGCGAAAGTTCTGAGGAAACAAATATAAAAAAAAACAATGAAGTCTGTTGAACATATATGACTATCTACATAAGAATAGCCATGAAAGTATAATAACTTGTTAGTATATATAATTATTAAAATATTTCTTACATATTTTAAGAAAAATGATAAAGCATTAAACATAAGGCCGTATCGAAACTCTTTACAAGTAGGCAAGTCCATTCACGGAAGTAGGGCCTCACAGAAGATCAACATAAAGTAGAAATATTCATGCTTTTCATTTCTTCTGATGAGCGAAGTAGCCAGGGCACAACGTCATAAAACTTTATGACGTTGTGACCCGTGGTAAAAAGGTTGATAACTCCACCTGAATTCACTATGAACCACCAGCTCGCTTATCTTGTTCTTACAAAAAAAATGTACAAGATCTATGGTAACAGCTAAAGTATAAAGTACTAGTTGCGCCCCGCGGTGTTACCTGCTATTTAAAAGTATATACTTTTCCTCTCCGTCCTTTTCTGTACCCCTTGTATGCAAAATTTCATGATGATCCATTGAGTAGTTAGGGCGTGAAGATAAAGAAATAAAAGAAGAAACAAACAAACTCACTGATGCATTTTTTTTATTTATTGTAAAAAAAGATTAAAGATAAAAAAAAAGAGATAAGAAGCTAGGATTAGGATTCCAATAGCGTTCTTAATAAGTTACTGTGCAATTTAATCAAGCCGAACAGGAAGCGGACAAATCAAGAACACGGATTTACGTTGAGTCTGATGTTTATTCGCAAACTTGAAAAATATGTACAACCGTTTGATTTTTAATTGTGACGTAACGTACTGCACCAACTAAAAACGAACGAACAGAAGAGCATAGGGATCAATGCCCGCCAAATATATGTGGGAATGATGCTGAAATAACATTACAAATGTGTAACAATTATTAAATGTGATATTCCAAAAACTACCTTCTACCATACATTATAAGTAGTTGACATAAAAAATTGTTAACAATAAATAATTTAAGGAAAATAAACTAATACATGAAATAAAATTAAGAATATAAACATATCTAATATATAAAATTCTCGTATCACGGTATTTGTAATTGAACTCCTCCGAAACGGCTCGACCGATTTTCGTCAAATTTTGTGTGCATATCGGCCCGGGTGGAGAATCGGACAACACCTATTTTTCATCCTCCTAAATGTTAAGGGTGGTCCACCCGTATTTTTTTTATATAATTTTTTTTCAAGATACGGCATACAAAAATTTTAACCCCTCTACGCATACGTAGTCGTGGGCAGCAGCTAGTATTTACATAATACTATGTACAGCGACAACACAACAATGTATTTCACGAACTTTAACAAACCCCTTGCTAAACAAGCAACTTGCTAAACAAACGGTTCCTGTATGCTATCATTTATGAACCGGGCATTCTCCATGATAAAAATTAATCTTTGTCATTTTCTTACCCCGAAACAACCACTACTTATGCAGAAAATCATGTTGATTCATTGCTCTTTGAAATTAACAAAATAAATAATCTATCCCACAGGAACCTTAAATTTTACTGGGACTAAAAATAGCTTATATGCTATTGCAGACTATAACCTCTGTTCCAAATTTCATCCAGATACGTTCAGCTGTCCTGGCGGGATAGAGAAACAAACATTCATCCATCTATCTATCCAAACGTTCACATTTATAATATTAGTGGGATACATATATTGTATAATTATTCTATTTATTTTATTTAGGGCGTAAACATTCCAATAGTACGTAATAATTAAATAGAGCTGTCAGGCTCCTTCGGCCGTTCCTAGAGTGTCCAGTACATTTTTAATAAAAACTAAACATGCACTACTCATTTTACCAACATTTAAACGAGTAACTCCACAAAGTAACAGACGAAAAACGATGAGTCGACACCATAATAAGAAATCTTCAACATTTACAATTGTTAGAACAACGAAGGCAAAATGCCTTTTAACAAAATCTGCACTAAATATAACAGTATTTTTGTAGTTGACCCGTGCGAAATATTGCACAGTACGGTCATCAGACGTCGAATAGTATCTAATGCAATCCTTACTTATGAAGTTGTCGAACTGGCCACTTTTACCTCAAATATCCTAGGCAAGGCTAGTAATTCCAAATTCAAATTTATTTCAAATTTTAGCTGTATTTGTTCCGAATTCAGTGACCCTTGACTCTTATTGGTCTATTTTCAATTTTTATAAGTTCCCTCAAGATAAAGATCTTTGAAAAATAATAAATATAGAGATTGGACCGTCATCCTGGCAGAAAATTTCGTTAGCTCTGTAAACTACCATACGTTTAGACGTTATTGATGATATTTTGAATTATTTTAAACTATGAAAATCTGTTTCATTACTGATAAACAAGAATATATATACAGCTTATTTTAACAATGAAAATAGTAACACATCAGGATCAACAACAGATCAATCAAATCGAATAGTTAATAATAATTTAAATCAATCCGTCAAGTAAAAAATATAGCAGCAATGGAATGAGGAACATATCGAAAGTATAACAAATGCCACACAATGTGAAACTATAACATAAACGAACAGAACTTGTATTACTTAATCTCTTTAAATATTAAATATATATAACATAACTCTGCGTTACGATAAAAAAAAATGTTTTCGTTCCTTCTTCTGACGAGCTGCTCCGTAACCTTTGATAAAATAAATAATTAAAACCTTGTACGTTGATCTTTCAAAATACTAGTTTCCTGAGTAAAAGATTGACGTTCAACGAACGGACTCGCCCTTGTCTCTGTGCGCCTTTTAATATAAAAGCTCTGTTGTCACTACGACAGCCATCAGTCGCTTCTACAATGTTCAAGCTCGTGGTATTGTCCGCTCTCCTCGTCGCCGCGGCCGCCGAGCCGGGCTTCTTCTCCGCCCGGCTGGCGCCAGTCACTTACGTGGCGACCTTAGCGGCTCCAGCCACCACCACCTACGTGCAGCACTCCAGCAGCTACTTAGCACCCACGGTCTACTCATCCCTGCCCTACCCTCACTTCATCAAGAAGCGTTCGGCAGAAGCTGACACCGCCGCTGAGGATGCAGCACCACAAACAGCACACAATAAGCGCTCGGTTCTGCTCGCAGATCCCATCATCGCCCGCGCGTCGTACGGCCCTGCCTACATTGCGTCCGCCCCTCTGGCTGCATCCTACTCCCCCGCTATCATCCCCAGTGCCTCCTTCTACGGGTCCTACTATCCGTCATACTACGCAGGCTATCCCGCTGCGTTGCCCTTCATAAAGAAGTGAGAGACTCAAACCAATTAGAATCACCTTACGATACCACCTTAATACAACCGGTCGTATATTTTTGTGCCCAATTTAATGCACAAAACATGAACCGTGTCCGTAAATAAAAACGATTGATGTAGTACTTGTTTGTTATTTTTAATCTACCTCCTATCATCACAGGATATTTCAAAGAAGGTACATACAGCTGACATAAAATTTTAATAACCAAAAGGTTCGAGGTCTTGAGAACACTTTGAATAGCCCCTACTAACGTCATATCAAGTTTGATACACTACGGATCCTTAGAAAAAAAACAACAACTCTTCCCAATTATGAAAGTCAACGCTATTGAAATTTAAAAAAAACATCAGTTTCAATAGAGATAATGGTTGGATTGGCTACCATCAATTCGGAGAAAACACTATTGCAAGACAAGACTCAATTATCACCTTCTGCCTAGACTGGACACAAAATTAATTGTTCTTAATATTGGCGGTAGCCCGACTTTACAATGGCATGTAGTCTAACGTTTTAATCTGTCTCGCGAATGCTACAAACTATTGTTATTTTTTACTCCTTCACATACGAGTAATTCAAAAAATCTGCCAATGAGTAATATTAAAAAAATCTATTCTTATGACAAATTGCTACAAATCACTTGAATTACTACTTTTTTTAAGTAGTAACACGTTTGAAAAAATTATGAGAGTAAAATTTTTACATCGACGTCCACATGATGAAGTTGGTAGCAATGCGTCCAACTTCGACCAACTTCACGGTATTACCATGGCAACCAATAACAGCTTTTTAACATTTACCTATAATTTCAAGTAATTACATGAAACCCAATGATATTTTGTTTTATGTGAGAAAGTGGCAAATGAGCTGGCGGTTCAACTGATGTTAAGTGATTACTTTATACTATAGATATATTAAAATTTGTAGAAAAAGTACGAAAAGATTGTCGCAGTGGGTTACCCACGTGGGTTACTTTTTCTACAAATTTTAATGTTTAATCTTAAGTGCAGAGATTAGCACTATAAAAATTTGATTTTTAATTTCTATAGATATGTTGTTGTACCGGAGTGAAGCTACGAAAACGTCCGAATTGACACATTTACGTGGAAAATTTAAATTTTAGTTGTTTTTCTTTTTTTTTCCGATAAAAAAGTAGGTATAACTTCTAACACAGATATTTTTAATGTGAATAAGAAAGCCTTGTGTGAAAACATCTGATGTGCATGGTACTAAAGAACTTTTTGTATAATTTCTAATGTTTAAATGTATTTTTCGTAGAAGGTATTTCGTATTGGAAAAGCAAATTCTAATTGACGAAATAAGGTTTTTATTAAAGTACAAAGTCAAACGACGCTTAAAGTCGTTGGAGAAACAGACAGCAAGTAAAAACAATCTAAAAGTATTTTGGTCAGTTTAAAGTCAATTTAATCTTATCAATATGCATATTAAAGGACAGCTTCCAATCCAACATCACACCAAGATCTTTAATGACATTTACTAAAGGTACAGCATCGCTGATGCCATTGTATGCTATCTTATCCAGAAGTAATTTATGATCCACCTCGTTGAAGGCTTTTTGAAATTAGTGCGTACTACATAGTTTTCTGTTGAAAATCTATGTTCTCAAGTAAGCAATTTGTAATATACCATAAGATTAAATTTGCCCGCATCTTTTTATTGTGTTCACTCAGGAACTTGGTTTTAATACACCTAATAGCGACTTTAGACTCAATATCTGGTATAAATTGCAACCAGCTAGGTCCAACCAACCGTTCTTGACAAAATCGGTGGTGATTGTTTACCAAATTCAATAATGCGGGATAACGGGTAGTACAGTTGGTACGGTTTTAAACATTGTAGATCAACCATTTGCACATGCCTAAAGAAATGGCGACTTTTCGATAATTGCCTGGCATTAGATGACATTTTGGTCTAAAATGGGATAATCTTCTCCCGCCTGCTCGTCATCAACCCTTTTTGGGAATATACACCCAGGTCCCGGAAAATTATCTGTGGGACGCTCTTATATTTTACCTGTATAGAAATCCACCCCCAGAAACGAAATCAATGTTTGAACGTTAGCAATAATAACAGCAACAAAACGATATAATTTGCATATCTTTGTGTATGACAAAGAAATATGTAAAAATGTATATTACATATTTCATTCATTAAAATTTTACCCCCAGAGCCAAAGTCACTTTGAAGGATCACCACGACCAGAAACAATATTCTTTTCTAGAAAAGGCGTGAGTTTTTCTGTGTAACATTTTCATATGATACGAGTTTAATATAAATTGATATATTATTTTTTTTTTCTTTTCTATGACCTAAAGGAATTTGAATATCATCACGCTTCTGTAGATTATTTACTTATTTTATTCCTAATTAACACGAATACACAAAGATAGTTTAGCTTCTTTTGAAAAATTATTTAGATTACGAACATACTTCAAGCTGTTTTGTCGATAAAATGAATGCTTTTCCACTATTTTTGCGATGCGGAACATTGATTTGATAAATTTATTTATTTATTTATTTATTTATTAAGGTTCACCAACATTGGACACATTAAGCATGCAAAGCAATTAAAAAAAATAATAAGTCGTAAATGTTCCAACAATTACAGGTGGACACAGCTTTCTTAACATAAACTTATACCCTAATTAAAATAATGCAATATCTACAAACTAGTGTAAGAAAAATTTAACAAGACTAAAATTTTACACAGTTTAAACAGTTGTAACATAATAAATAATTTTGATACAAACAATAAAGGCAATTAATACTTATACTTATCGTAGTCCAATAAATAATCTAAGATTGACTCATGTAGAGTTGAATCATGTAGACCGTAAAAGGCGAGAAAAAAATTCAAAGAATATTTTGTACACTTTATTGATCTGAACGGAATTCATCTTGTGAGCATCAAACAGATATTGATCTACTCATTTCTTGATCAAAGGCAATGCACCCAGCGTAGTATGGTGGATAGTAGGAAGCGCTGGGTAGAAGGGCGGAGTAAGTGGTGGTCAATGGGGCAGACGCTATGTAAGTAGATGCCAAAGGAGCGCGGGAGATGTAAGAACTGGACGTCGCGAGGATGGAAGCTGAACGTTTCTTGATGAAATACGCTGGTGCAGCATACGTGGGCAGCACGGCGGATGTGTAGGTGGTGATTGGGGTGGAAGCGACGTATGTCGGGGTGTAGAGGGTACTACGGGAGCGCTAGCAACGTAGGCAGTGGGCGCCACTTGGCCGTAGTACAATAGCGCCGAACGCTTCTAGATAAAGTGGAGGAAGGACAGCTCCGAGTAGACGGTGGACGCTGGGATGTAGCTGCCTGTCTGTTGCACGTAGGTGGTGATGGCTGGAGCCGCTAAGGTCGCCGCATAAGTGACAGGCGCCAGCGGGGCGGAGAAAAAGCCCGACTCAGCGGCCACGGCGATGAGGAGAGCGGACAATACCACGAACTTAAACATTGTAGAAGCGATTGATTTTCAGATATAAAAGCGACTTGTGTCGTTGACCGTTAAGTATTTGTTCAGGGGACTGACATTTAATTCAGGCGCTTACAAGGTTATCGAGAAACTCAAAAGCGTTTAACATTCAATATCATTTATACTTTATTTTATTACAAATATATCTTAACTAACAACTGTCGTTGAATATCGATATACCTATCTCAACTTTTGGTTTATAGAAGAGATTTTGATATTAATAACCATACTCTTCTTCAGATCACCTTGTCCCGCAACAATTGCTGTTTCGTAGCACTGATAAAACACTGATAAAGTTTCTGAAAACTTCTGCGGTTGGAGAAAACAAAACGGTGCAATTATGTCGGTGTAAATCTGTTGATGCGATTATGATGGTACGAAGATCGCCGCCGTTACCGTGCGTATTCATTCCAGGAGCTTATTTGGTTAATTTATATTATTAAAACGGAATTATCTTATCACAGCAAGTAGTAACGATGATAAAAAAAACGCAAGTGAAAAAATGAAAAACTTTCAACGATATATTGATCAACATTTCAGACCTTTAATATGGTGTGACTCTCGGTACTTCATTCTCAAATTAAAATTTTTTATATGTGTGTGCGTGAGTTCGTCAAGCTTGTATATTAATTCTACACTTATTCAGGCTTTATAATTCATTACAACTACTGGATAGGTTTTGTACGCACTAACCAGGCTATGAGTAATGCATAAAAGTACCTTTTTTGTAATCGATAACAAACCAGATAATGCTGCTCGCTGCAATAAAAAGACTGATGCATGGTTCCGTCATGGAGTGAATGTCAGCTACGTACGTGTAAGTTTTTTTTTTAATACAACTGTGAAATGTATTTTACAGGTAAAAAATTAAAGACTACGCAACATCATTACAATACTCGTTGAAATTTACTTTTATATAAGAACCTATCTGCATTTGAAAAATAAATGCGCAGAGAGTATTTTTCTATTGTACGTCCTGTAACGTTTAAAAAATAACTGGTCTTAAAGCTTTGCTTCTTACATGGTCAGAAGGCTGTAATCAAGAAGGTACATGATGGACAGAAAAATGATAGATCCACTAAATGAGAACGCATAATTAAGAGAAACAGAAAATTATTTCATACTTTGTTTTAAGATCTGAATATAAAAGGATAAAAAGATTTAACTTTTGAACTTTAAAACACTACAAAGAATAATGGCAACCTGTATTACCATTATAATGTTATTAACCTCCTTGTTAATTTTTTCAGCAGGTTATTCGTAATTTATGCTCAAATAGATGATAAATCAAACTAAATTATTTTTACTTACCAGGACGGACCTGCACATTCGTACAACCATGACTGTTGCGTGGCCCTACCACGGCCATTTTTAAATCATTAATTTGTAATGGCAACAAAAATTTTTTTTTTTACTTTATAATTATCATTTATATTGTAAAACAAAAAATTACATTTCAAAGTTAAATGATAACTACTACTGAATAACAGATGGCGCCACTATTTCGCCCTATAAATAATATGAAAAACATCACAGTCATAAATGCTTAAGAATTGACTATTGAAATCTTAATTAATTTAGTGAAGGCAAATATTCTATGTCATGTCAATAACACTAAAACCCTGAAAAGTGACTGTATCATTGGTATCTTCGTTATTTTAAATTCCTTTCGGGGAATAATAAAAATAAATGCTGAAGAGGACAGGTGGTTTACATGATATTACATTCATGTACACCACGTGTCCTCTTCGCTGAACATTTTATCTGTAAAATATGAAGTATTTTTAAAAATGAAAGAAATCACAAATAACATAAGCATCAATCGCTTCTACAATTGTTGAAATTAATGATCTATTGAACGACAATAATGTATAAATTTAAGTTCATTGTAAATCCAAATACCACGTATAAATAATATAAATTTACTTTAATATTAATTGTTATAAAAATAAAGTTGCTTTTATATTTCGTACGGGTCTTGCTCAGAGTATCATGTTTTGATTTTGATTAATAAATAAACCGAAGTAAATGTATATTGTTACGTGTTAGGGGTTCGAAGGATTTGGAGAGAAAGACCTGCTGACTCTTTTGAAGACTTTATTCAATAGCACTAGGTCCAACACAAAGCACTAGGTCCAAACACTAAGCACTAACGATGTCCTAGGCTGTAGCCAAGTCGTAGATTTCACTGGTATCGCTCTCGATCACTAGTTTTCACTCCGAAGTCGCCTCGAAGGTAGCTCAAACTGAACTGTGCTGGCTCGCCTCTCTGCGACTTTTTATATGGGCCGAGACGAGACCCAGACTATTCCAGAAAGTTTCTTCCTGGAACGTACCCGACATGCGCGAACATGATCTTGATTCTGGAAAGTTCGCGAATGTACCCGGTTTTCGAGACTATAGTTCCACAGCAGTTCCTCTAACGCCATCTAGTGTTGAATATGGGGTTTTATGTCGTCTTTGTTCTTTAGTGGTTTTAATAGTTGACGCTAGATGGCGTTAGTTCCTTTGTGTGTTCATAACAATATAATTGTTGCTTGCAGTGACGATAGACGTAATAGCCATACAAAATACAATAATGTTAATAGTTTTATTTACTACTTATAATATATTTTTAATTAAGTTCAAAATCGAAGAATAAGCAATGTTTATATCATAGTTTTTAAGTTTTAACTTCTGTCTATAGTCTATGTGCCTATAACTGCCTATTGTCTATATTTTGTTCGTTGATGGAAGTTTGCGTTGTCAGTTCTCAGTCGATATAAAACTTCATCCGTAATTTGACATTCGTGACAAAGCTGTTTCCATGAGCTTAATTTAACACTATCGCGGTAGCTAGTATATGGCTATCGATTGTCCTGGACATAGATGAAATACTAATATATGCTATGATACTGGACTTGATGAACGCGAAGGATACTTATCCTTGTATAAAATATAATTTTTTCTCTTCATCTTCTTCCTCCAGTACCTACTTTTCCCACCTAAGGTGGGTTGACACAACATAGCAATAATTTTACTAACGGTTTTGACAAGGTTTTTTACGACGGGCCGCCTGCCTAACCAACCCTCCTTAGAAATAAGCACCCAGATCCGGAACCATTATCTGTGACTTGCACAAATACTTGTCCCATGTGGGAATCGAACCCATGACCTCCGATGTCTACGCCAATAACATCTCAACTGGGCCACAGGGTCATGAAATATAAAATACAAAATCATCGATTATAAAATATACATTATTGTAACGAATTCGGGTGCTTGTTGAATTTTTACTTGTGCATTCTCTCTGGATTAAAGAAAAAAATACACATTTTTATGGTAGTTTTTATTGAAGTTAATGTTTTCTGGTAGCACAGGTTTGTGAAATTTGCACCTATCATTTCTTGATCAAAGGCAACACGGAGGGGTAGCCGGTGTAGTATGACGGATAGTATGATGCGCTAGGGAGGATGGCTGTGGAGTAAGTGGTGGTCAGTGGGGCGGACGCTACGTAAGTAGATGCCAGGGGAGCTGGAGCGATGTAAGGGATGGATGCTGAACGTTTCTTGATGAAGTGTGTTGGTGCAGCATACGCGGGCAGCACGGCGGACGAGTACGCGGCGATCGGTGTGCGGGCGATGTATGTGGAGGCGTAGGGGGCTACCACGGGAGCGCTAGCGATGTAGGCAGTAGGAGCCACGTAGCCGTTGTACAATGACGCTGAGCGCTTCTTGATAAAGTGGGGGAACGACAGCTCCGAGTAGACGGTGGGCGTCGGGATGTAGCTGCGTGTCTGCTGCACGTAGGTGGTGGTGGCGGGGGCCGCTAAGGTCGCCGCGTAAGTGACAGGCGCCAGCGGGGCGGAGAAGAAGCCCGGCTCGGCGGCCGCGGCGGCGAGGAGAGCGGACAATACCACGAGCTTGAACATTGTGAAGCGACTGATGCCTATGATTATCCTCGCAGCCTTTTTATACGATTTTGCTGCTAACTCTCAGATAGGGGCGACTTCGAGCGTTGAACGTCAACCTGCAATTCAGGAAGCTGATATTTAAATCTATCACTATACAAGGCTATTTTTAAGCTCTGCACTGCACATGAACCTAAAAATAGATTGCAATACTAACTTGACCTTCAGTTTTTATTATTTTCTGTTGTTCTAAGTTAAATTTATAAGTCATTATTTAAGTTGAATTTTACTCTAAATATTTATATAAAAAACTGTAACCCTAACAGAAATTCTTTTATTCCAAAATTTTATTTTTCTTTTATTCCAAAAATCCACTCATCTTATGGAATGCCCTGTTTTACGCAATGTTACTGATATAATATATAAAAGAATAAAATTATTTAATAGTGTCGAGATTTTTTACATTTCAGAGGTTTGGCTGCGGTTCCATTTACGAATTCGTGGTATGCGCGGTATTCACCTATACACAACGGTTGAAAACTGTTACAGCAGTATTACTAAGTCGTGACAGAATTACGTAAATCTGCGTAAATACAGGCGTCTTCAAGGCAAGAGTGAAGAGGTTTTTACTAAGCTAGCACGCTTAACATGAACGGCTGCATCGCCACTTACTATCAGATGGGGTGGCAGTCGAGCGCTGTCCAGTTTCCAATAAAGAAATCTGTTGAATAAATATTTAGTAAAGATAAACTACAGGAGAGTGAGCTTTACAAGACATGCATAAACAATACATGAAGAGGAAAATTCATGCATTCTATATGAAGCATGATAGTCTGAAGCGGTCTCCATCACACCTATTAGCAATCGGTCTACAACCGTCAAGATGAACATAAATACCTCCCCGTGACTAACTTTCTGAGAACACAAAGCTCATGAGACCGTTCGCATTTATGTAAAATAATATCAAATTTAGTTGTCATAGCGACCCGATTGACGTAGTGGATACTGTTTGTTCCGCCAGAGAATGTGGGCTCGATTCTGAATACCGGAAAAGTATAATGTGATGATCTTGTTTACGTATATTTATCCGTTA